TCGAGTCGCGCCTGCTGACCATCGTCGCCGACGCCACCAAGGAGCCCGACGTCGAGGCCTGCGCCAAGAAGGTCGTCCAGCGCTTCGAGAGGCTCGACGCCGCCCTGCTCAACTGCTGCCACCGCGGCGAGTCCAAGAGCATCTTCGACGTGACCGAGGACGACTTTGACCGCATCATGACCATCAACGCCAAGTCTGGTACGCCCACGTGACCCCACCTGGCCCCACGTGACCCGCTGACCACTGCCAGCTTTCCTCGGCGTCAAGTACGCCGCCACCGCCATGCAGACGACGGCCGCCGGCGGCTCCATCATCATCCGCTCCTCCATCGCCGGCCTGCGCGGCTTCCCCAACCTCATCTCGTACAGCGCCAGCAAGTTCGCCCTGCGCGGCATTGCCCTCACCGCTGCCGAGGAGCTCGGCCCCCTCAACATCCGCGTCAACACCATCCACACCAGCATCATCCAGACCCCCGGCTACAAGGACGGCTGGAGCAAGGAGAAGCTGGCCGAGCTCAAGGAGGAGACTGCCCTCGACCGCTTCAGCAGCCCCGACGACGTGGCCAGCGTCGTCGCTTTCCTCGTCAGCGAAGACAGCAAGTTCATGACGGGCGGCCACCTGAAGATTGACGGCGGCTGTGTCGCTGTCTAGACGTTCCACGTAGCCTTGCTTGTTGTACTGCCATGGTCGTCATTTGCATGGATGGAGTTTGGGATGCCCGCCTTTCTTCACAGGCCGAGGCTGCATGTTTTGCGCAGGCTGTCATCACGGAGCCGACACATAGAGGCACTTTATTAGACGGGTAGAAATGCATCACCACACGGACCTGTGTCCGCAAGTACTCCATCTGTCAGCATGCTTAGGCATACCTAGGTGCTTTGCCATGACAGCGCGTGACGTCACTGCGTCGTTTCCGAAAGTATCCGCGAAGCTGCCATGGTGTGACGTGCATTAGCCATACGCCATCCCTCGGAAGGTTTCTTCGCGACTTTTCACTTCAATCCTCACTTCAACCCGTTAGAGACCCAAAGCCACCATGTCCGAACCTACAGCGACCCAACACCATCCCAAGTTCCAAACTCGCAAGCCAGAGCAAGATGCCGTCGACTACGAAATGCAGACATATACGCGCGGACTGGACTTTGAACGCCCACCGCTCACCTTCCAGGCTGACAAATGGGAAGAGCTGGCCTGCAGTCGCATGTCAGCCGACTCAAAAGGCTACGTATACGGATCCGCCGGCGTACGGGAGACCACAGACAAGAACCGCAGTGCCTTTAGAAGATGGTCGATTGTACCCAACCGCCTAGTCAAGTACGACGGCTTCCCCGACCTGACAACCGAGATCTTTGGGGAGAAGATGGTAGCACCCATCGCCATGGCGCCCGTCGGTGTACTCAAAATCTTCAACCCAGAAGGCGAGGTCGCGGCTGCAAAAGCAGCAGCCAAAGAAGCCATCCCGTACATCCTAAGTACGGCAAGTAGTACGAGTATAGAAGATACTGCCGCAGCGAACGGCCCCAACAGTCAACGCTGGTACCAACTCTACTGGCCGTCACGCGAACACGACGACATCACCATTTCGCTACTTGAACGTGCAAATAACGCCGGCTTTACAGCTCTGTTTGTAACTCTAGATACGTACATCCTCGGATGGAGACCCGAAGACATGGACAACGGGTACAACCCCTTCATGCGCGCCGACCGCACAGGCGTAGAACTTGGCATGACGGATCCTGTGTTCCGGAAACAATTCAAAGCGAGACATGGCGTGGATGTAGAACGAAAGATGGAGACTGCGGCGCCAGAATGGATGAGGACGATTTTCCCGGGCGAGAGCCATAGTTGGGAGGATGTCGAGTTTCTCCAGAAACACTGGCATGGGCCGATTGTGCTCAAGGGCATTCAGAGCTTGGCTGATGCGAGGAAGGCGGTGGAAATTGGCGTGCAGGGCGTCGTTGTGAGTAACCATGGAGGCAGGCAGCTCGATGGAGGGAATTCGTCGTTAGGCGTGCTGCCACATATCGTTGATGCCGTTGGGGATAGGTTGACCATTTTCTTCGACAGCGGGATACAATCGGGTGCTGATATTGCCAAGGCCATGGCGCTAGGAGCCGACTGCGTGCTGATTGGTAGGCCGTATGTGTATGGTCTGGCGCTTGGAGGAGAGAAAGGCGTGGAGCATGTGCTCAAGAGTCTGGTGGGTGAGCTCGAGTTGACATTGCATTTGAGCGGCGTCCCGAGCGTGCAAAAGAAGGATTTGAATCGCGCCGTGCTCGTTAGAGAGGAGGCGCTTTTCGAAAGTGTGAAGGGGGTGGGATTGCGTTAGGGGAGATATTGCGATTCATATGGATCTTCATCTAATCACATGTGAACGTGTCGACCCTCTTTTTAGCCTCACTCTTCCCTTTGGCCAGCCACCTCCCGTGACCAACCGCAGTAAGCGCTACACACTCTTCGATGTACGAGCACTTATAAGCAGCAGCTCCGTTCGGCGACATCTTGGTATCAGAATAGTGTAACCGTTCTGAACTTACCCTCTTCTCACCTTCACTTCGATCAAGACTTGCGTGGGTATCTAGACTTCCCGACGTCACCTTAACTTTGTCCATCTCCTGCAAATCACCAACACAATCTCCTCTTCATCTTGCAAAGCCTAATCAATATGTAACCCACTACAACTCTCCGTTACCCGGGGATGAGAGAGTCCGCTCCTGTCCATGGATACATAAGCCGTCTCTGCGCCTTTGTCTCCATCTCACCGACCCCACTTTACTCTACGAACCAAAAGTATCACCACCGAACGAGTCCAAGTTTCAACTGGCTCAACATGGCCTAACTCGAACGACGACTTGCGTTGCTTAGGTCTCGCGGCCTAATGGTACCAATCACAGATCCAAAAACAAGCAAGCGGCCCGCTGAGGAGCCAACGTCCGAGCCCCCGTCCAAGAAGAGCAAACATACTGCTCAGACTCTCACCGTACGAACTTAAGCCTTGGAGAAGAAACGCAACAAGACGAGGCCTCGAGAATAGTCATGGAATGGGACACGCCGTACACGACATGCTTTTGGTTCAAGTCGAGGAACAGTATGGCGAGGACAGGGTTGTACTTGAGCGGATGAAGCGGGCTCTGGAACAGGAGTTTGGTGGATTCTTTGGAGGCGAGTGAGACGGTGGTAGAGACGCATGTAGGAATGAGCACGTTGGAGATTGGATTTGGTGACGCCGCGGACCAAAAGTGTGAGACCCCTTTTCTTTTCGATGGTAACGACTTCCTTACTCTTACCATGACGGGTGGTCGTGAGCTGCATGCATGGCGCGACCGGAACTTGTACCTTTAACTTTCTTCTTCCATGCCAACGCAGATACGATTGCCAACTCCATTCGCTCCAAGGTACTTTTTCGGCTAACCATTACTGCCGCAAAACACTCTCGTTGCCCTTGAACTACGAGTGTCAATGTCATCCCCCTGTCATAAACGATCTGAGTTTTGCAAGGCTCTATGCTATACGGATATATCAAGCATCACCAACTACACATGCCAAATCTACAGACGCCAATCCAGAAAAGGCCTTTTATTGGACGACAGATCACACCCTCATCATCATCCGTACCGTAGGAATAAAGTCTTGACTATCCTTCTCTTGCTGTTCGAAGCTCTGTTTAAAGGCTGCCAATCCCGCAAGGATCCCGCATACCATAAACACCAACGACACAAGCGACCAAATGACACCCCAGCATTGCGACGAACCGCCATACCGCTTAGCGAACACGCTGGCATCAGACGAGTTGACCTTGCGGAGGATGAGGTCGTCACAGATATCCCAGACGCTGTAGAGAGAAGACATGACGCCGATGAAAAGCTGGAGCGGCGTTAGCAAGGACGTTTCGAGGGGACAGGGAAAGACACCTACGACCATGAACCTCAACGCCTCGCCATGTTCGATGAACCAGAAGGCTACCAGTAGCCCTACGCTGAGAAGAATTGTGACGATAGTCAACCAGTCTTTTCTCGCCCACCATAGTGTCAGCAAGAAGCAAACGCCTAGCACTATACTCGCTACTTTGGATGCCACGATGTTGAAGCCACAGAAGGTCAGCAGAGCACCTATCAATGAGGAGCCCAAGTAGCCAGCAGGCAGAGTTATGAATTGCTTGCCGCCGCGCATATGCGTTACACCGCCTTCATGGGGATCAAGGGAGATGGACTCCACTCGCCCGCCGGTACAGCAGGATGTTATTGCATGAGAGAATTCATGAAAGGCTATGACGAGCATCTGTGGGTTTCGTCAGCTATCAACATCTCCCATTGTCCCACGCTACCTACATACCTTGAACGGCCACAACACCCACCGTACATACGGCAAGTTCCACAACAACGCAATAACGACAACATACGCAGCAATAACACCCAGCGTAACCCCTTGGGTGTGATTTACACTCAATCCGCGGCGCTCAAAGTGATGCGAAGCCTGCGAGGCGACAGCCGGCCCCGCTGTGACCAGGGTCCGGCGCGCTAATTTGGCGAGCGTGCTGGTGTTGCGAGGCGACGCTGCTGGCGGCATGGCGGTGTAGTTGTACGTCTCTGTGGTATGAAGTGTTTGAGCGTGGGCAGAGCGGAAGCCTGGGTACTGAGCAGCCAAAGTACAGAGGAATGAAGATGCTGTTCTTGTTTTTCTGGTGAGTGAAAGCGGAGAGTGGCTGGAGAGAAGACGTGGAGCTGACGCGTTGTTTGTGGAATGCGCCACGCAGCACGCTAAATTTAGCAGGGATGTGGCTGTGTCGGCATTTTGTCATCAGGTACACGGAACAGGAGACAAAGCAGACTTGGACACTGGAAACAGTAGATGATATTGTATTGAATGGGATAGTCTGTGTATTATGTATACCGCTTGGTAGAGTGCGGCGTCATGCTGAAAGGAAGCGGTTCACTAAGCTGTGCGAATGCATCTTCGTCCCAAATACCAGGATATGAACTGAGTATGCATCGAGAGAAACCCTAACCTCGGCGCTCCTCGTCAATGTGTTCCTGATGCACTGACATGCCCCTCTCGGGCGAAGTATCGACATCTTTGTCGCCATACTTCTCAGATCCAACAGCACCAGTAGCGCCGACAGCGCTGTGGCGTCGCTCCCAGTATGAGTCGTCGCGTTCGTTACGGCTGATGTATCCAGCCGGGACCCACTTCTTACTGGTCCTGGCAGATAGGCTCGGGTCTGAGTACATGATATCGACGTTCTCAAGAGACAACGATTTGGTCTCGAAGACGAAGAAGTAAACGACACCGGCGGCGACGAAGTTGCAGGCGAAGAAAACGAAACCGAAGGCGTATCCGATGCCGTCGTCAGCGTAAGGTGTGAGGAAACCGATCAGGAAGTTGCCTAAGAATGGTCGTTAGTAAGCGAAGTCGGCATAAGAAAGCATGTTGCTTACCGAGCCAGTTGAACGCTGTAGCCAAAGAGGCTTGCTTCGCGCGAGTCCTGAGCGGGAAAGTTTCGCCGATGATTACCCAAATGAAAGGACCCCAGGTGGCGGCGAAACTTGCGATGAACATGCAAGCAGCAACGATCATAACGATACCGGCAGTGGGGTTGTCTTGCGGTGGGAGCGCAACACCGATGATGGCAAAGATGAGCAGCCAAGTAGCTTGCCAGAGACCGCCAATGACGAGCGGCACACGGCGACCGACTCGCTCAATGAGGTACAACCCGGGGATCGTCATGGCCACGTTGACAGCACCAAGAATAAGTTGAACTTGGAGAGGATCATCAATGCCTGCGGATTGGAAGATAGTCGCGCCATACTGTGACGATTAGCGGCGTGCATGTGAGGTCGTTATTCGAGGGAACTTACGTAGAAGAAGTAGTTGACACCAGTCCACTGCTGGAAGAATTGGATAGCACATCCGACGAGGGTACGGTATGCAAGACGCGGGATACCGGATGGCTGGCCAGTGAAGCATTCCACCCAAGTACCTTGCCCGGCGCTCTTTTGCTCGTTGATGGAATCCTCCATCTCCTTGAAGTCCGAGTTGACCAACTCGTGGTTGGGGTCGTGTGCCAAGCCTCGGAGACGAGCCATTGACATGCGCGCTTCTTCCCAACGGCCTTTACCGGCCAACCATCTGGGCGATTCTGGCGTGAAGAGTACACCGAAACCAAGAGGGAGCGAGAAGCCGATTCCGAGGCCAATGACGATTCTCCAGGCGGCATCGCTGTCTTGGCCCGGATTGTCACGGACACCAAAGTTGATAATGTTGGAAACTGCATATAGTAAGTACTATGTAAGCACACATATGGGCCAGACCTACTCAGGATGCCAACAGTGATCATAAGCTGGTAAGATGCGACGACGGCACCACGAATCTCTCGTGGGCAGACCTCAGACTGGTACATCGGTACACCAATAGAGAGAATACCGACACCAAGACCAGCAACGATACGACCAATAGTCATGTGGACCCAGGTGTTCATCGCTGTGACCTGGATGATGTTGCCAATGACGAATATGAGCACACCGATGGAGAGATTGCGGCGACGACCAAACCAGTCGGCAGTGTAAGCACCAGCGAGCGCGCCGATGAGAGTACCAATGGACATGAGGGATACAAGCAGGGACGAAATCGTGGGATCGAATGCTTTCTCGCCATTGCCCTGGTCCTGTCCAAAACGCTGGATGAAGTCCTTGAAGATGAGGATTCCACTGATTTGACCCTGCATTACGTGAGCCACACGCATTCACATGCAGAGATTGGCAGATACATACCGTGTCGTAACCGAACAGGAAACCACCTATCGATGTGATAACTCCAAGAATGATGGCTTCGATACCGCACTCGGCACCGCGAACGCGGACAGAACTTTTCAGAGTCAATATAGCATTCATGCATAATCGAACGGCGTCAAACGTACACTTTGCCCAGACCCATGGTTGTAGTAACGATTCGATCACGACAAGACCGATGTGCGAGACAAGATGGATTTACTTGTTCGGCACACGACGAATCTTAAGTATCGATGCCAATTCCAGTCCCGTGTCCCGTAATGCGGTAATGCCCAGCATCGCGCCGAGCGTTCGACTCCGGGGCTCCTACGTCATACGCGCCACGCCGTCACGCGAAATTGCGCGCGAGCGGCCTTACCAGCTTGGCTTCACCTCCTCCACAGCCAAACAAAAGTGATCCGGGGGTCTGAAACTGCAGTAGTGGGCTTGTCAATGCGACGCAGCCGCTGGGGGACAAGGGGCGTGTATGTGGGGAAGCAGGTCGCGATTCGATAGCCAAGCCAAATCCGCCCGACGTTCCGGGAAGCCCACCAAGAGATAGACGGCCTCGAGCACACATGGATCGGATCGTGCTCTCACATGCTCATCTGACGGTAGGCGTTGTACAAGGCGTCCTGCTAGATCCCTAACGTGCAAAGTGAACGCCTCTGATGCGCACCCCGCATTCAGGCGCAAAGCACTCAGCGACGCGCTCCAGGGACCGTTGTGCCGCACAGCCGGGCGCCAGAAACTTGGTGACGGTCGCGTGACTTGTGGATATCGACTCGACGACGCGTATTCTTCGGCCGGGGCCATGTCGGTGAAGATACTTCACTTCAAGATGCGACAGACGCTCTCGGCAGTGGGGATGATGGAGATACGTACGACCCCATCCGGGCCTGTGCAGCCTCAACACCTGTGCTCCGACCATCCCTCCGACTCTTTGAACAATTGCCGCGCGAACCGGCACAAGCTTTGTCGCTGTGCTTGTTTTGGACTGCAATCTCCGATCGCTTGCAGTCTCTCTCCGGTCAAGTAAAGCGAGGGACCCAGTTTGGATGCAACGTAAGCCAGGTTGCGGCGACGGATTGGTGCGAGAGCGGCCCACATGAGGCTCAAGGAAGGCACTAAGAACCTTCCATTGCCTTGGCATGTCCGACCCGCATCGGACGAGAAAGTGAGGCCGTAATCTCGGCAGTTCCCACGTCGTGGAGTAGGTGTGAAGGCTTTGAGGGGCAGCCTGCGTGTTGGGGAGAAGAAGGGGTGTGGAGGTTGCGGAGACTGGAGAAAACTTCTCCTCGGTAGTAAGCACTGGGGACGAAAGCTGGAGAAGGAACAACAGCAACCTTCTTGCGCAACTCTCCCTACAACATGACTTGTGTCTAGGTAATTTACACGACAACTGACTCTCACGGCTTCTTGCTCTGTGCGGTTTAGCGCATCCGGTGGGATGTACATAGTAATCCTATCACCGCAGAAGGGAAGAGACACTGCGCCGGCAACGCGCCGATGCCAGGTACGATCTGAAACGTCGTCATTCCCGCATCTTTCGATGTATCGATGTCTGAGTGAACAAAGACAATGCCCTTCAACGCGGTCTGCCAAGTCACGTGCGGCGTTCCTTGGTCCTTCTAGGCACCGTTGGAACGCGATGGTGATGTCATCATGTCGCGATACTCAGGAGCCAACTGAGAATGCTGTATCAACCCAGAACCTCTAACAAGAACACTCGAGAAGACATTGCGGAGTACACCAAACTCAAATTTCCTATAGACAACCTCCGGACTCACAAGTAGATCACAAAATGGTCAAAGACAACGAAACCGTGATTGAGTAAGTGGCCCATGAACGTCAACGCAAGCAAAGTGCTTACGGGATCGCAAGGGAGTTCAACGAGCTGGTCAACATGTCGGCAGACGAACTACAAGACTGGCTTGGCAGCGAAGAATCCGCTGGAGCCGGCTGGTAAGCCCTGCCTGCAACGAATGCAGTGCTGACGTTGCGAATCTTATGACATGCATATCCTCTAAGACGCCTACAGGTCCAAAGACAACGGCTCCGGCGAGACAGTCGGCCATGATTCGGGTCGTAAAATCGTTGCTATACTGCAGAACAATCCGCAGAAGGACGCGGACAAGTATGAACAAGAAGACATTGACCACATGCGCAAGGTGGTAGCATACTGCAAGAGGCATCTTGCGCAAGAGGATAAGGCGAAGAAGGACACGGATAGCAAGAGCTACAAGAGCTTGAAAAACTGGGGTCACGACGCCCAGAAGGCTTGAGCATTTGCATGAATGGGAATGATGCTGGAAGAGGTGTGAACTCGACACAGGCGGAACAAGTAGCGATATGCATATATCGAGGCCAAACCACAGACTTCCAATACTGTCACAACAATAACACGAACACATCCCACTTCGTCATCTTGTGCAGGGACATGGATTTCAAGACGGCCGTATCAAAAGTGGAGTAAAATAGAAACAATGCTTGAAAGACATCTAGGTAGAAGAGGCGTACAGGACGAGTGTCTTGGTCTACAGAGCAGTCGACCTCTTGCGGCCAGCGAAGTAGTTTCCCTTTGATTCGTTAGTTCTCAGTTCGAGTAGTCGGATCGGTGATACTTACTTGCATGCCACCCACGCACGCTGGCTGCTCCATTTCCTCCGTCTTTGTTCTCTCAGGTGGGCTTCTGCGCATGAAGCACTCGCCTACATGATGGCCCTCATCGCACGCAACGACCCATTGGCCCATACCCATGTCCTTGGGAGCGTGCCTGACACCTCTTCCACCGCCACCTACAATCAGATTGCCTGGTCGGTAGGTTGGATCCGCGCGCATACGCTTAATCACGCTGCTGTGGATGACGGCATTCGCGGGTATGTCGCGCGTCTCACCCTTGGGCAAAGGCCATCGGATCGCTTTCCATGTCCCATCCTCCTGTAAGTCCATGCGTCGGAAAGGCAGGTACTCCATTATGTTCCACGAAACGACGCCCATGCGATTGGCACCATTGTTGAATTGCAGGACGTCGTGGATACGGCCTTTGGTCGCAGCGCTGTGGAAATGTTTGTGGAAATGCGTGTTAGGGTGTTCGCGATGGTGCGAAAGGATGTTGTCGTCGTCAGTGTAGCCAGCTGTGTCGACGGATTGCGCGCCCGAATTGGCGATGACGGGTGAGGGCGACGCAGGATCGATTGCAATCATCGGGATGTTGTTCTGCGCTCGCGACACGTTGGTTGTGGGCTCCTCGTGGCAGCAACTCAGAGCTGCGAGCTTGTCTTCGTCAAAGTCGAGCCCAGCTTTTTGAGCTTCGCGCACCATCCACACCAGGGCTACGTGGCTCAGTGCTGCGTCGTCATCACCAAGAGGCCAGCCTCCTCCGATGTCCTACACGACGTTAGTATTGTAATTGAACCTCCGTGACGAGCACACTTACTGCATGGCATCCAGGAAACCAGACTTCCTGAATATCCTGCTCGCCATCTTCGTCTTGAGAGTTGAAAGTTCCCGCAGCGTCATAGGATCGCATCGAAGGAGTAGCAGAGCCGTGAACGCCATCAAGCTGGGAGCAGTCCGCGCTCCGGCTGCGTACGCCTGAAGTCTCATGTGGATCTCTGTAACGCTCAGGTGGTGGTGCCAATGTATCTCGCCGACCTCTACTCTGCTGTTCGTCGTGGTCTTTCTCGTCTAGGTCATGGTCTTCATGATCACCATGGATCAGATCCTTCATGTGCTGCTGGTGTCTGTGGCGATGCTTGTACAACATTGACCGGTCGGGCTTCTCTTGAGAGATGAGATCTTGTCTGAACTTTGCGCGTCGTTCATCGATGGATACTGCATGTCGTATTACGTGGGCGCTGCTTCTTGCGGTGTAGGGGAATCTGCTACGTTGCATCCAGGCGTTCTCGAAAGCAGGCACGGAATTGACTGTATCGAAGAGGCCCAGAAACCGAATGGGTTTGACGGGACGGCTGAACGTCTCGCGAAACGCGCACATGAATTCCAGAAGCTTTAGCTTCTCAGATTTCTCGCCTGGCTTGCGATCTTTGCCGCCTTTTTCGTCCGGTAATCTACATTGCCATTTCTGGAATGTTCTGAGATAGCGTTAGTGGAGAGTTTATGCATGCTACATGCTATACTCACTTCCATGCGAATTGACACATCTCTTCGTTTCCAGCCTGTCGACAATTAGAAATCGCCTGACAGATATTGGGCAGTTGCTTACAGAGAGGAGACCAACATGATCAAGCATCTCTGCGAGGAAGCGAGCGGTATATGCACCACGCGAGAAGCCGAAGAAGAAGATATCATCGCCAGGTGTATAGTATCGCATTAGGAACTGTCCAGTCCATGTCAGCCAGCTGCGACCGGGTTCCGTCCTCTAGCCACTAAGCTGAGGATAGAGCTACCTCCTGGGATGGCTTACCTTGTATCCCGCCATGACATGCTGATCGAATGAAGTTCCTACGCCAGATCAGATTCCATGCATCACAACGAGCCGTGCCGAACGTACCTATTGCGCTATCTTTTGCCTTCGCGTACCATGACTGGAACTTTTCCCATCGACCTGTTCGGGTCATGGATCCATTGGCTTTCGTAACATATGTACCGATTCCGGGCTGGTAGTAATGGAACTGATCATCCCCATTGCGATCGAGCATGCGATAGATCTTGAGGATGTTGCTGTCGGAGTCTGTGCCTGAGAATTTGTTGCCTGTACCATCGAAGCACAGGACAAACTTCTTGGTCACATGGTTCGGACGTCGTGACACGGCTCCGTAATCCATAGGGTTGTTGTTAGGTGGTTGTGCGGATACCTGAGGCGAAACGCTCGGTAGGCGTGGCTGCTCTGAGTTCTTGCGCGCCATGTTGAGACTTGGGGCTTGACGAGGAAGAGCACCTTGACAGGAATCCAGCTTGGTCGTCAGAACGAAGCAGTCGCGAAGTGTCAAATAGCCAAGTAATCTCTATCAACGCGGGGATCGGCTACAAAAGCCTAACACAACTGACGCGTGCTCCCCGTCTGGTCTGTCTCCAAAGCTTCCGAGCGTATCAAGCCACATTAAGATACTGATCGCCATTGCTAATGCGGCTTGTAACAAAGCTCGCCTATCGACGCGTCGATGTCGCAGGTGGTGGGCTGGGAGTAGTCCCGCCGCTAATAGCAGCCGCTGATCGTTCTGAAGTGCCGCTCGCCCTACAGCGACTATTGACCTTTGAAAGCTGAGATAAACTGACTACCATGCGCTATACGACGCCCCCACCCTGAGTTGCTACATCGATGATGCGGCAGCCACTCAAGCATCTGAGCGTTGCCTGGCAGAAGGCACGACAGATACACCGCATCCTGTCCCGTGTCGTGCTGCAATTGATTGCAGAAAAGAAACGCATGTGGCCCTCGACTGCAAGTAAGCCAATGCCACCGTTTCGCCACTATCCCGGCTGGCAATATGGTGGTAACCGATGGACGCGATGCTACGCAGTCCAGGCAGGCAAGCTCCGAGAGCTAATGCTGAGCGCGTTGCTCGTGATCGCAGTGGTGTCTAATCCAATTGGACTCGGAAGCAGTGCATTCAACAAGAACGCGCCGATCAGAGAGGAGAGGTTGGTGTAGGTCTGCTCGCCGACATGTGAGCAGGAAAAGCACGTCGCGTCGATGGTTGACGCTACCCTTCCAGCGATCATTTGTGGGGGGGGGCGGCCCGTGCACCAGCCGTCTCGATTGCCGTCGTCTCGACTATCGATCGCACCTCCCAGTCACCACAACCACCGCCGGCGTCTTGGACGAACCGGACAGTAAACCTTACGGCTTCGGGACAGGCCGTAGACCACTGACCGCCGTCGCTAGTGCCTGCCTGATACCGCACCCTACTCGGAGATTTGCAAGCTGGCACTCCTGTTGTTGACCGCCACCACATCAGCTGAAACTCACTCTCGTCTGTCCACTTGCTAGCACATGACTGCGCGACCATTCGTCGGGAAGTAAGGTCGGTCAATTCCGGTGCCGCAAGCGCTAGAGTCTCCTTCCACTACTCAGCCGAAAAAAGCTGAATCGGGATGCCGATCGCTTGATAATTCGTCTATGGCTTTTGTCCACGTCTCTGTTTGGAATGGTCGCGAGTTCAGGTCGCCGTTCCTGTCTATCATGTTATCGACCGCCAGGGTTGCAACATCTTCGACACGTTCCCATAGGGAGACAGCCGAAGTGAGACCACAACGACTCCCAGGCAACCAAAAGCGCTGAAGCCTGAAACGTGGCAGGCGTACCCACCTCCTGGCTACACGTTGCTTTTGGACTTTTCGCAATGTCGCAAAGGCCATCCATGGATCGTCACAGGTGGGTCTAGTTAGTCGTTTCCTCATGGAGCCAATGGTGCTACTACGCTGTGGGTCTTGAGGACCGCTCACAGATCATTCCTTGGACTTGTCATGCAGTGCTCGATACCCCTCTGTCAGTTCTTAGCGAAGGTAGCGCAGAATCCGTCTGGCACTACCCTCCACAAAGGAAGTCACGACCAATGAGCAGTCGGACATTTGTAGCCATCAGAGGTCTGACGATATCAAGATCCGGACGCTACTCACATCATCCCGATGCAGGCATGGGTTCGTCCGCCCTTGAGGAAGCCGCAGGACACTGTTCGCCGAGTGCATATGCTGATCAACACACCGTAGCTGCTAGCGATCGTCGCCACGCAACTGGCTCGCTGCTGCTTGCCATGGCCAAGCTCCTGCGTGGGGAGCATTGCGCCTCCCAGATCAACAGCAAGCTACGTTGAACTTACTTTGTGAACTCCGTCCGGCCCTGGGATTCATATTCTCCCCGTTCCCATCTTTTCCACATGGTCATACACACACTTATTCATCATGCCTAGCCAGATACAAACATTGATCGGAAAGATCAGGAGGAAGCCGACGCAAGCCAGCGATGGCCGAACAGCGGAAGCGTCGAGTGGCATGAAGAACCACCAGAAGACTGGCATCGTCAGCGACATTAGAGGTCTCGGTGTTAAGGATGCCAAGTTCGCCCTCGATGCCATTACGACACTCGCATCCGGTGAGCCTCTGGACGACAAAGAACTTCTCCTCGAGAAGGGAGTTCAGATGCTACAGGGTCTTCCTCTGAACAGCGGTCTCAGTGCAAAGGTGTCGGATGGTTTCATCAGCATGCTCTGGAATGATTTACCACACCCAACACCTACGCATGCCGGCCCATCGGCACGATACCGGAAGCACGACGGCTCAGGAAACAATCCCCACAACCCTGAAATGGGCAAGGCAGGTTCGCCATATGCGCGAAATGTACCTCCCACCAAACCGAAAGGTAAGTACCCTGTTGCTATCATCCCATGCGAATCAGGACTGACAACTTCTCAAGGGCCAAATTTACCTGACGTTGAAGACGTATACGAGGCGCTTCTCAAGCGCAGTGGTCCTTTCCGCGAGCACCCGTCTGGTCTGAATCGCCTCTTCTTCTCCTTCGCAACCATAGTCATACACGAATGTTTCCAAACCTCTAGGACAGATCCTTGGATCAATGAGACTTCGAGCTATGTTGACCTCAGCACCCTGTACGGCAATACAGAGAAGGAGCAACATCGCGTGCGAACTTACAAAGATGGCCTGATCTACCCAGACTCAATCGCCTCGGAGCGCATCATGATGATGCCCCCTGGTGTAGTCGCAGTACTGTTGATGTTCTCGAGAAACCACAACCACGTCGCGGAGTCGCTGCTGTCAGTGAACGAGGACGGCAAATACAAGCCCTGGGATACTCTGGACGAGGCAGGCAGGAAATGGTAAGTTTGCTGCAGTCCTTGTACGCGATATGAGCCTAACAAGATTTCAGGCAAGACGAGGACATATTCCAGATCACGCGCAACATTAACGTCGGTTTCTTTGCCTCAGTCGTACTGAAAGACTATGTCGCTGCCATCCTGAACACACCACGAGCCAACTCGGAATGGTCTCTTGATCTTGGTAAAGAGATCAAGCAAGGCGGCACACGTGTCGAGCGCGGCACCGGCAGCCATGTATCCGTGGAGTTTGCTGTCCTTTACCACTGGCACGCTGCTCTCAGTGCCGCGGATGAGACATGGATGGAAGATATCATCCGTTCCGTCTTTCCTGACATCCGCCACATCGACGATGTGACAATCGAGATGTTCCACCAAGTCATGAAGGTATATGGTCATGACTTGATGAGCAAGAAGCCCTGGGAGTGGACTTTTGGAGGCCTTGAGCGAGGCGCTGACGGCAGGTTCAACGATGCCCAACTTTCCGAGCTTATCAAAGACTGCATCGAGGAGCCTGCCCATGCTTTTGGTGCCCACGGTACCCCCGCCAGTCTAAAGGTTGTTGACCTCATGGGCCAATTGCAGGCCCGTGAGATGTTCAATGTCTGCACGCTCAACGAGTTCCGCCGGTATCTTAATCTGAAGCCGTACGATACGTTTGAAGATTGGTGTTCCGATAAAGAGACAGCACGAGCAGCCGAGCTGTTGTACGGCCACATGGAGAACATGGAACTCTATCCTGGATTGATGGCCGAGTGCACCAAACCTGCCATGCCGGGAAGCGGTGTCTGCCCTGGTCAAACGACTGGTCGAGGTATCCTGGACGACGCCGTCGCATTGGTTCGCGGTGATCGTTTCCTGAGCTACGACTTCAACAGTAACACCCTTACGCAGTGGGGAGCGGCTTTGCTGGCGGAGACAACACCCGGTGCATACGGTGGTGTGTTTCCTAAGCTGCTCTTCCAGGGTCTTCCGGGTGGATTCAAGGGAACTTCCAGCTACGCGCTGCTGCCCTTCTACACCCCCAAAGCAGCGAAGGAGATTCTTCAAGGAAATGGCGTGCTTGAAAAGTACGACCTCAGACGCCCTCCCAGCGATTACGACATCATCAGCGTCCAAACTCAGGAGGGTTGCAAAAAAATCTTCGAGGATCGTGAGAGTTTCGTTGTCATGTACCAGGCAGCTATTCGCAACTGTACTGCTGGACATGACTTCATGATCGGCTGGGACGAGCAGAAGAAGCATGATGAACGCTCCAACATTCTGCACAAGGTCTTCTTTGAGGAGGGCTTCGAGAAGAACATCAACGAGTTTTTCACGACCAACGTACGCAATCTCATCAAGAAGAACTCCCTCAAAGGCGCCAAGGGCAGGATGAGCATCGACATTGTCCGTGATGTTACCAACATCACGCCAATCCTTTGGCTCGCTGAGCGTTTCGCACTCCCGCTGAAGACACAAGAGCAACCTAGAGGCTTGCTCTCCGTCCACGAAGCTTTCCTAGCGTATCTCGTACTATGTAAGTAACCAGTCTAGCGCTCTTGAACCTGCAACAGGTGCTAACCTCCGCCCAGTCATGTACCAGTCCTTCAACATAATGCCGCATAACGAATGGAAGCTGCGTGCAGGCGCTATGCAAGCCGCAGCCCCCCTCCGCTCCATCTTCGAAACCCATCTTAAGACGCAAACTGGACGTCTAGAAGGTTTCGTCGACTGGATGGCCAAGGGCTCCGCTTTCGAGGTAGGCCCACACGCCGACCGCATCTACCATGCATTAGCGGACACCAAGCTGCCCATCGGAGACATGGTCGGTGACTGCATCGGTATGGGAGCGCCCGTCGCCGGAAACCTGACACAGCAAGCCAGTCTGCTGATCGACTTGTTTCTATCTCCTGGGTACGAAAAGTACAAGACAAGGATCGTCGAGCTATCGCACATGGACCCTACGACCTCGGACCGCGAACTCCAAGGCTTCGTTTACGAAGGCATGCGCCACGTTGGTGTTGTTCCCGGTCTACCTCGCGTTGCGACGCGCGACATTACCGTCAACGACGGCGTCCGCGGCCCTGTTTCCGTCAAAAAGGGCCACACAATCCTCATTGCAACTTCCAAAGCCGCCATGGACCCCGTTGCGTTTCCCAACCCGGAGATCCTAGACCCGCATCGCCCATTCAAGGAGTACACACTGCTCGGCCATGGCCTGCACTTCTGCTTCGGCGCCCGCCTCGTAGGCCCGTCTCTCGCCGCGACGCTGCGCGAAGTTTTCAAACTACCAAACGTGCGGCGCGCACCGGGCAAACAGGGTCGTTTTACCGTCACGGAGCACAAACTTGCCGGCATAACGATGCGACATTATCTTGATTCGAGCTCGAAGGAGAGTCCCATCCCCACGAGTCTACGGCTGCACTACGATAGCGAGGATGTTGTTGTTGCGACGGGTCTCAATGGCCATCTTACCAATGGCCATCTTACCAATGGCCATGCGAACGGGGGGCTGACGAACGGACACACGAATGGGCTTGCCAACGGGCATACAAACTTCGCTTCTAATGGCCATGCCAATGCAGGTGGGGATAATGAACATGGCAATGCGTATACAATTGCGCCTTAGGGAGGTGTGGGACCAGAACCCAATTCGGCACCAGGACGCCCGTCGGTGTCTTCCTGGTCATTGTCTTCGTCGTCGTCGTCGAGCGAAAGCTCTGATCTGAGGCTGCAGCCAGGGATTCTCTGTTGCCGGAGTGCGCGGGAATAATTTGCTAGGAGATGTCCGCTGGTAGTCAAGAGTTGGGCATGACTTCGTTAGGGTGTTATTGTTTGTGACGATACCATTGAACTTTCTGTTGGCTTAGTTGTAGTGTTATAAAATCAGCTTGCTGCAAGTTGTTGTCGAATTCAAGCTTCAAGTTGATGTCAGTCGTGTTGTGATGTTGGGAATGTGACTTAAAAGGTTCACATATCTGGTGTCGATAACTAGCCAACCTTAGCCCAGCCTTGCACTGTAATATACGGTTGCAAAAGTCCAATGTTTCTGTTAGGTTACGTGTCTTTAACAGTCATCAATATTGATTGTACCAGCACGGTGGTCTAGTCATCAGCGTACACCGACAAACACAAAGCCACCCCCATATTACAAGGTATTACTATGCACGCAGTCTTTTATGAGAACGATATTATCAGATGATCTGGCAAATGAATCTTTCCGATCTCCATATAAAGACGACTACACGTCTCACGCAATGAACGCCATGCTACCCAACCTATCGAAACACAAGAAACCCGACCCTTACAAAAGACAAGACAGAATGCCAAAGTCACAACTTCACAGCTACTCAACTGAGCCCAACACCGCGTTAAGCCATCCTGGGCAATGGCGGAAGTGAAGTAGGATCCCATCTCCTCTCGCCCTCCATGTCAACATCATCATCGCTGTCTTCCTCACTAGCATCCTCCAACGCCTCCCTCCTCTCCATCTCATCCACATCCATCATGTCATCACCATCATCCTCGTCATCTTCATCTTCACTACCCAAAACAGGTCTGTCATGGACGTCTGGCAATCCGCTACCCCTCTCGCCCTTGGGTCGGGCTCTGAGCGCACTTCTGCCGCCTTCCCAGCGATCCAAGCGACGCAGGGCTCTGCTTAGCATCTTAGCGCGATAGTACGACTCCTCGCCATGGTCGTTGACTTCGCCGCCAAAGTCGAGAGGTACGAGGCCGGAGGGCATGGGCGGGGGTGTTTTGGTGCCGAGTTCGTATTCGGGAAGTTGGGCAAATTGTGCGTGCGATTCTTCGTCTGTGTCGTAGCCGTCGGCCATGCCTTTGCAGCGGATCCAGCTGCGCATAAAGGGGTTGGCTTTGCGGCGGCGCTTGGCTGCGGCGGCGTACTCGATGCGAATACCTCGGTCAAGAATGACGTCGACGCGTCGCCTCCTGTATTGCTCGACAGCTAGTTGGTGTTGTGTAAGGGGACGTGTTCGTTTGTGCGAGGGGTCAGAACCGTTGAGCGGGAGGTAGAAGCCGTGTGGTCCGTTGAAGGTGGGTGCGGATGTGGAGGGGGACTGGCCATCTTGCGAGTGTGGAGCGTCGAGTTTGGTCTTGAAAGAACGTGCGGCTGGTGTTCCTCCGGCGCCTATGCCTGATGTGCGATTGCGCGACCAGTTCCCGCGGCCGGGGCCCTTGGGCGCAGGAGACGAAGCCGGTCCGTCTTCGTTGAGGAGGGTATTGATGCGCATGTTGGGTGTAGCCACCTTCTTGGCTGTGTTATAGACGCTGTTCGGCGGAGACGCAGACCGAGTACGGTCAGTGTCTGAGGGGTAGTCTCGTTCGATGATGGATTTTGCAAGCTTGCCTCGTCCTCGTGCGGAGCCTGGTGTTGTTAGATCGGTGTCGCCGCAAAGGCTAGAGAGCAGCATACCATGGGAAGGCGATTGCCTGTCGCGTCCAGGTGTCCAAGCACCATCATCGGCGGCGATGGAGAAGACTGGGTTTTGGTTGAAGCCTAGAGGTGGGTCAGCTACAGCCGGACGTGAGCGGAGTCACAGGTGAATAGCAGCACTCACCCTTCTTGTTGGTACGCTTGGGGCCTGTCACGACGGGCGCCATGTCGCTTGCCAATATAGCTGTCCTCTCCTTGCGCTTAATCTCACCGAATGTCTTCTCTTCGATGGAGTCGACGTTCTCCAGCGCCTCCTGCTCTGGCGAGAGTATGTCAAAAGGCGGGCACTTGATAGGGAACTCAGCCGTAGTCGGATCGTCGGCCGGACCCATCTGGCCGGGACCAAAAGGGTTGCTCTCGGCAGCCTCCTTGGTGAAGTCGCTCTCGAGATACCACCACATGAGCCAGAGGAAGGCCGTGGCTCTGCTCTTGCTGCTCAGGTTGGAGCGCATGACGAGGTCGAAGAAGTCGCGCGGCGGGAAGAAGTGCAGCTCTGAGATCTTGGGGGCGTATTGCGACAGGACGAAGATGAGGTTGACGGGGTTGGTACGCGGGACGGAGGCTGCCATGATCTCCTCGATGGTGCTGGGCTGCTCCTGGTCCTCGGTGGCACCCTTGAGGATGGACTTCAAGCGGGGCGCGTCCTGCAGCTGCTTGTAGGCATTCGGGTCTTGGTGGGCCTGGAGGGAGGGGATGGAGTGGTAGGTGCGCAGCTGGGCGCGCATCTCGGGGAAGACTGTGGCAGGTTAGGGGGGCTCGAGGAGGGACAGCAGGTGGCCTACAGTTGAGCGTCGTGTTCATGCGGCCGACGTTGACGAGCAGACACACCATGGCCATGTTGATGGCAGCCGGGCGCTCCGTCAGCAGCTTGTCCTTGAGGATCTTGCTGCACTTGCTGCTCTTGGCCATGGCGTCGAGGTAGATGTCGGCGAAGGTGTGGCCGCTGGTGCTGTCCGACTGCTTGGTGAAGACGGGCCGGTCGTCCTCGAAGACGAGCTTGAGGAAGTCGAACTGGATGTCCTTGCGCCACAGCGGGATGCCGTCGTCCTTCTTCAGGTGCTTGATCTTGTTGCCGCTGTAGACGGACGACACGCTGCCGTTGGCATTGCGGCGCGTCGTCGTCGTCGTCGCCGTGTAGTACGGCCTCGCCGGGTCCGTGTCGTTGACGGGGCGGGCGGCGTCGGGCGCATCGCCGCCAGCGTCGCTCCCATCGGGGACAGGCGTGTTGGCTTGCGAGGGCGAGGGCTTGGAGTCGTCCATCGGGGGGTCGGCGGCCAGAATGTGTCGCAGGCTGTTTCTCGTGTCGGGCTCGTCGGGGCGCGCAGGCAGAGGCGCCGTGGCAGCCGCTCCGTCGTCCATGGCCAAGTGCTCTGTGTCTGGTTCCACTAGTCCTGTGCTGGCCCGCTGTCGCCTGAGCGCGCGTCTCGAACAAGCAGGCAGGCGCGTCGCAGTCGTCAATCGCCGAGAGGGAAGCTGCGTCTCAGCGCGGAAAGCGCATCCACGCCCAAGCTCAGACCTCGGGACGCTAGGCCAACGCGATCCCATCACGAACATGGTCAACCATCACAGTAGTTGCTAGCAGAGTTCAATTCATTTCCTAACCAATTGCGCAAATGCAGTGCACCACGCATACATCAAAGTAACCAGGATATCTCAGCAAAAGTTGCACAAAAAGAAAGCTCCAACACGCGCCGCGCGACTGCCGAAGCCAACCTGTCGCCGAAACAAAGAAAGTGGCCTGCTGCAAGCAAGGGGCGGGGGTATGCAACGCGAAAAGCATACACAACTCCGAGCGAGTCGCCTGCTCCATCTCGCCAAACGCCTGGTATCGCTGAATATCCGTACAACACGCAAAAGGAACCCCAAATCCCGCCTCTCCGGCGCTTCCAAGTAACCAAAGATCCGGCCCGTGGTCCTGAATTAAGAATCAAAAATTAGACTGAATTCTTGGTGCATCGTCATGTGTCGTCTCTGTCGCGAATCGAGCCAAGGCTTGCTCACTCGAACGCCGTCTCTTCTCGTACCATTAGAGGGTTGTTGGTGTTTTGTGAATACATTCGTCCATCCATCCGTCCATCTCCGCGTGGAGGGTTGGATCCACCCGAGCCCTTGCGTTGGCCGCCCATGCCCATGTTCATCAAAAGCATGCCGCTCTCTCGTTTTCGTTGCCGCTGTTCGCGAGCTCCGCTAGACTGAACAGCGCCGTTCAAGCTGCCGTATCCCTCTCCAGAGTGATATGGCTGGTCGTAGGCTGGCGCATCGTAGCTGGGTCGCATGGGAATGAATCCCGAATCATAGCCGTTGTATTGGCCTTGCTGCTGTTGGCCGTACTGCTGCTGCTGCTGTTGATACTGCTGTGGGGGCTGTGGGGGCGGATAGTTGGGAGCGCTATTCCCTTGATAGCCTTGAGGCGGTCGGTCCATACGCTGCTGGAATGTCGTCTCGTTGTATGCAGGCGTTGGGAGGTCTGAGAACATCTGCCTCCGAGGAGACCGAATCGCGTCGTCCCCCAGGTGAGAAGTGTTGTTCCGGATCTCGTGGATCGGGGAGCTTGCTTCATCGAGAGCAGTACCGAAGATATCCGTGTAGTCAGTCAGGAAAAAGGATATCAACGGGGCCGGAATGTTCAGAGTCGGAGCAAATACGATGCCAACATTCCTCACGGTCATCTTGTTCACCCCGGAATTGTCGACAATCTCAATCAGGAAAGACGCCATGTGTCGCAAGAGCTCAAGGTTAGGCCTAGGTAGCTTGTGTACCAGAACGTTAAAGCTCTGGATCTTTTTGCTACGCTCGTCCATATCTAGAATGTGTCAGCCCATGATCTACTAATCAACGTCATCCGGATAGACCACTTACCGAGAACCTTGAGAAAGTCAAGATGCAGTTCCCGAGTTAGAACAGAGGCCGGCAGTTCTCGCAGGTACAGCTTGAGAAGCGATGCGACGGCGTGAACGTCATAGTACTGCCCGTCTAGCAACCTGATGTCACCTTCGTTGTTGAACCGATCGCGCAGGCCCTTGATAACAATATTTGACCCGCTGAGCCGGAAGATGCCCTCTTCGCTGATTGCCTTCTTTGCTCGCAGATACTCCAAGCACCTGTAGACGACAGCTGGCAGCGCCACGCTGACACCGTCAGGCTGCGTAAACTCCACAGCTTCCATAAGTGGAATACCAAATACACTGCGGCCTGGAGGCAGGCGATGTTCTACAGCCGGCTGCAGCGGAGTGCTGACCTGGACTGGTGCGAGGTCAGAAGAGCCGCCACGACCTCTAAAGCCGAATATGCTACGTTTCTTGTCTTTGACGGTCGTGGGTCCTGCCGCTGGTTTGCTGCCCCAGCTCTCAGAGTCCTTGATGGGGGTTCCGTTGCTTGGTCCTGAGATGGCGGGATAGTGACCTGAATTATCTTGAAGGAAGGACGAATCCTTAGGCGACCCCCGTGACGGCTTTTCTGCCATCATATCACGGTGATTGGGTCCGCGGACGGGAGCTTGCGCTTGCACCGTGTCGTCATAGCTGAGGCCTTGCAAGCGATCCTGCTCTCCCATATCAGGGCTCTCTCTCCGCTGAGAGCGTGCCGAATCTTGGCTGGCCTGCTGCTTTTGAAGACGCGTAGCAGAGGGGACGCGAATCTCGACTGGCGAAGTCTCGTCTGGTATGTCGACATGTTGCAGAAGAGCCTCGACCCAAGCATCTCGCTCTTCATCGTTCTCCGCACACAGCACATGGCGCACCAAGCTCGTCGAATCTTTTCGCTTTGGCTCCAAGATGAGGAAGGCGTGTCGATATTGGTTATCTTCAGAATCGTCCCGTCGTTGTGGCGATTGGTTTGACTGCTGTTGTGACTGCTTCCCAATCTGTGCATTTTGCAGCTTGATCGTTCCCAAGTGCGCACCGCCCTCGCCCTCAAAGTACCTGAACTCTGAGCCATCCAGAACAAAGAAACGCGCTTTCCAGCCTCCGAAATTCTTGCCACGCTTGGTGAGGTAACCTTCCTTGCGCTGCGTTTTCTGAACAGACACTATCGGACCTGGTGTGGGCTCGGGGGTCAGTCTATCGCCAGCCTGGGCGCCTATTACATCAGTAGACAGGTATTCACAGACAATCAATGCCGTCTTCTCGTTCATGGGAGTTTCCAGGACAGTATCAAAGTATTGGTTGAGGGCGACCCGGCGAGCGTCAATCTTGGCAGGCGCATGTCCTCCGAAGAGAGCACGGTCTGGAAGTCGTCCCTGAAAGTCGCACATAGACCTCAGCTGAGAGTCTAGAGAAGGCAGCGTAGCAATGGTCTTTTCCACACGCCACAGCTGTTTGTTATCAGAGCGGGCATAGACGGCAAGAATAAAGACAGGGTCCTCCTCCTGCGGCTTGGGGGCGAGCATGCTCATACGTGATGGCCGAAGGCGAGACGAGAAGACCTTTACTTGAATGGAGGGCAGTGCATTCGGGGGCAGCAAGAGTCCAGGGTACTGGTCTGACACGAGTCCGCGGTAGACGTGTTCTGCATCCGGAACATCGTTGAGGGTAGGGCTGCTCGATGGTGATTCTGGACTGGGCTGTGCACCTGGTACAGTCAAAAGGCCCGTCGACGCCTCTTTGCGTAGCTGGTTAGGCTGCTGATTTTGGTTGACTGGGGGTGACTGATACGACTGAGGTGTGTTTGGTGGGAATGGAACTTGTTGCTGCATTGCCCGAGCAGCCGACTGGTGCGTGGTAGTCGGCGACATGGGTGGTGATGCGATGGACTGCTTAGGATTTCTGGGTAACGGCGATCCGAGTGGCCTGTCCGTGGGTCGGGGGCTGGAAGGTAGACCTGGACTCATGAGTGGGGATGCGACGCTCCGGTTAGCCATCATAGAACTATCGGAGTTTGCAGGACTAAGAAGAGCATTCAGAGAGTTGGCTGGCGGGTGACGGGGAGAGAGTGGAAGGCCCGATTGCAGCGCATTGAACTGACGCGGCGAAAGGGGAACCGGGACCGCCTGAGGCTGATCGCCTGCTGGTGTTTCAGAAGGCGTCGCTTGTTTGCTCTTGCTTTCGCTTTTCTTCTTCTTCGACTTGCTTCGAGCTTCCTCATCTTTCGAATACATGGCCTCACGGACCCTGTCATCTTCCTCTCGAGTCTTTCTCCTTCCTCGCAGCTCCACGACAGGTATCTCATCCACCTCCAGTATATCGTCGTAATCAGAGTCGACATCGTCGCCATGCACGGCCCGGTGGAGATGTGCGCTGGTCGTTGTGGGTTTCGACAGGTTGAGTGGAGCTGGCGGTGCCTTTCGCAGAGGCTGCGGAGTCTTTCTTGGGGGTGATTCAAAGCCATCGCCGCCGACGACAGGCGTAGCTTGGATCAGCGATATCTGCGGAGGCTGGAGCTGTGAGCTACCCGGGACGAGCGTCACGTCTGAGGTGTTCTGGGGAGGAGTGGCTGGCTTCGGGGCTTGCGCTGGGGGTTGAGCAGCATCGCCGGGCTGCAGCAAGGTAGAGTCGAGGCCGAGGCCCCTGCTACCAAGGCTAAGGGGTTGCACGGAGTAGTCTGTAGGTGAGTTTACGGCTGACGAGATGTTGGATGCCGTGGAATGAGACGGCGACGTCGCTAGCTGTGAGTCTGGGATGAGATGCGGTGCGGGGTGCTCTTGCGTCAGGGGCGATGTCTTGTGCTCGGTGGCTTTGGTGTCGCTGGGCCGAGCGGCGTCACCAGGTTGCTCACCGAGGGCTGGCGACTGGCTGGTCTCGCGTTCCACGACCGAGTCGAACGTGTCGGACTTTTGCAGCGAGCCGGGGCCGGGTGGCAGCTGCTCAGCGTACTCCTTGAACTTTCTGCGGTAGCGGTCCTTGTCCTTCAGTGCGCGCTCGAGGTCTTTCTGGAGCCCGATGATCATGGACCGTTGCTTCTCCACCAGCCGCCAGAGCTGCGCGTTGTGGCTGGAGGTGTTCTGCTTGTCCTTCCACAGGGCCAGCATGGCGGCCTCGGGTGAGCCTGCAGCGGCCATCAGACTGGCCATGTCTGGGGGGTTGGCGGTGCTCGTGTCCTGCGACGGCCGGGGCGCATGGCTGGCGGGCGGGCGGTTCTGCGAGGCCGTCGACGACAGCGAGGATGCGGCCGAGTCTATCGAGGGGTTGCGGACTGGCACCGTCGGCCTCGTGTCTGGCCGGTTCGGGCGTGATGGTGGAGGCATGGTGACGGGCGAGGCTGGCGGGGAAATGCCAGCCGAAGACAGCGTGGGAGACGACAGCTGGCGGAGTCTGGCATACGCAGACGGCCGCGACGACTGCGCGAAGCTCGGGGTGGGGACGGTGGGTGGTGTAGGCGGGTGCGCTGGCTGGGTTGGGCGAATGGGCGAGGTATGCTGTTGCTCCTCCGCCAGCAATGCGTCGAGCTTCTCGCGCGGACTGCGCGGTTCGTCGAGGCGTGGTGAGTCGCGGTAGCCCGGCTGCTGGCACGGGGGGCCGCTATTACCAGTCGAATACAGCGGGCTTGGGACGGGTTTGCGACGTGCTCGGGGCGGGTGTTGCTCGTCCGCCGTGGCCGGCACGTTGTGCGAGCGCGTCGAGTCGTCGCGAAGGCTGCGAATACTGTCCGCGAGCGACGGCGCGGAGAGAGAGTGCAAGGGCGACGGCGGCTGGTGCTGAAGGATGTGATGTGCCGCCGTCCTTTCCTGAAGCATGTGCATGTCTGTATTCGTCGCCGCCATGTTCAAGGCTCAAACGGGCTAGCGGACGACCGGGATATCTGGTCGACGGTATAGCAGACGGCCAGCGGGGATTAGTGTTTCGGCGACGCTCTGAGTGTCTGGTGAATCCAAAGCTGCCACGCTCAGCAGTCTCGTCAGCATCTGGCGTCCCGCGCAGCTTGAGACAAGTCTCCGTCAGAAGGAGCAGCCGGAACAGAAGAGATTTGGGCTTGTCGCCTGCCGGCTTCTCATTCGGCGCCATAACCGCCCTTGTAGGAGCCGGGCCAAAGTCAAGCCTGGTTCCTGCAGCAGAAGCGAGCCCTGTAGGCCGTCGTCTCCATCATCGCCTCCGCACGCCTTGATGGCTGCGTCCCCTCACGTTTTAGATATGCCCAAACCCGTCTGCATCCCCGTCGACCACCTGCCCGCGTAGGCGCCAGAAAGCTACTTTGGCTTTTCCATTGGCGCACACCTGTGGCTTGCTAGCCGTAATCAACTACGAGCCACCATCCACCGCCCCTCTTGTGCAGAACGAGATGTGCGCGTGGTCTGCTGTCGCTGGTGCCCGCAGGCAAGCTGACAACAGCCTGACAAGCCAAAAGGTGCGAAATGCCCACCTATTGGCTACAGCCCAGATGATTTGGCATGCGAGCCCAGAGAGTGTATTGATTCGGCGGCGCGATAATCTGCGACTCATGGCAGACTCGAGAGCAATCCGCCAGCCGTCTGGCCGTCGATTGGATGGTCGCGGTAATAATGTCTCTTGCGCACGGAGGCGTTCGAGTTGAAGGGCTGCCGGCTGGGTCGCTGCAGCACGAAGGATTTGCCAGGCCGAATCGGGGCTAGACCCGTCGATCACTTGGCACTCGTAGATGCAGCAGCTCCGAACTCCCAGAGACAACCACCGCATGCCGTCCATCACCATGAGTGCCCAACCATCCGCTCTGCACCGCGGCTGAATGCTCGAGTATGCTGACGGCCGATACATGCCGCTTGGAACGCATATCAGAATCATACGATTCCTACTGACCTGCGATTACATCTGAAACTCATCCGCCGTCAAGCGAAGTGTACTGCAGGGAGCCGCTGATAGCTCCACGACTAAACCGTAACCGTCGCCACATGGTGATCACGAGCTGCACCTAGGCTGCGCAACGAACCCAAGGCCCAGACTAATAATTCCTCTTTGCAATGCTCTGTCAGGGGTAATTTGGATGATTGAGGCCGAGAAACGTCTTTTGTTTTTTCTGTCTCTGCGCTAGTACCCACCGCAAGCCGTGGAAATGAGGTGCGACATTGCAGCGGACATCATCACTCGGGCGAGTAAAGATGCGGCATGAACAGCCTCCTTGATGGTCCAGCACCCACATCCTTCGACCGCACGCATTCCCTCCACAGATGCAGGGTGAACCTGAGGCAGACGCTACCCCAAAGACATGGCAAGCATAACTCGGAACAGTTGTTTCCATGCGAGTTGGGTCAAGCCGCAAGCCTCTCTCACGTCTAATTATACATCGCATATCCAGCTCCGAGGGGCAACACCGAAGTATTATGATCTTCGTGATTGCAAATACGAGCTTTGCTGCGTTGAACAGGACAAATCACCAACGTCTAAATTGACAAGACTGCATCAACAGGAGCACGGACATTACATCTCTGGTAATATGCGGAACTTACGGTGAAAGGAAAGCTATCCTCATTTGCAAATGGTAGTCTTTCATCAATGCATGCGCATACCTGTGAGAGCTCCGTCCGGAATGTAAGCTCCCGTTGGACCGCTAACCGCCGCCTGGACCTACAGTTCCCGCCATCAAATGTGGAGGAAGTATAGATCGGAGAGTGAAGTGGCGCCAAGATGGAGGCCAATAACGCCTCATCGGAACCTTGTGATGGTTTGCGCCATGGGACAGCTACTGCGTGGGTAAACCCAGTATGGAGAACCCTTGCTCAATGAACAAACGCCTACCATCATGCCCTCAAGACGTTCCAGTTCCCATTCGCTACATCTGCGTACATCCACAGGTATGTTGCTTTGGAAATTACGAGGAAAGCGATGCACGCAGATACAGTGAGAACATGGACGGGTTCTGCCTGTCCAAGAAGAAGAAACCGCATGGTGTAGCGTTCGAGGCTAATTCACGGGAGGCAATGCGTACCGAGCGAACGCAAAGTCAAAGCCAATTTCTGAGCAGGGAACAATGTGGACGCTTGAATAACTTTCGAAAATAGCTATCATGGAAGATAATATCGTCATTGTTGCCTCGGCGTTTGCAAACCACTTGCTTCATAACGTACTGTTCGAAACAGTGAGCAGCCGTCAATCAGCATTACGAAACCGTGTGTTGAGTGGCATACTGTCCATTGAACTCGAGTCCCGAGTTGTCAAGCGAATTCGCGAGCATTTTCACATTCCCCACAGTTTTTGATCCATGTCAGGATGACCGGACCCAAAACAGACATGTGCTTCAATATTCAGATTGTTAATTCCCATAGCTACAGGACACCTGGCTGTCACCAAGCAGCTGCTACTCTGTTATACAAAATCATAGGTGTAATTTATCTATCGATCCTGACATCCTTCACACTGACCTTGATAGCTTCGTATCCGATGCTGGGCAACTGGGGTAGCGATCAGTTCGACTTGTCAACTTCCAAATGAGTTGCACTAATGGACTTCATCGGCAAAGAAGAGTTTGAGGCCGGGTGAAGGTCTGCACAACTACACTGTCTCTGAATCACAGATCGCGTTTTCGATGCAGAGACAGTGAGACAAGGCTCCGCATTGCTGGACTCCGTTGTAACACTGTCGAAGCATCGGCTCACCTCCAATGGATATACTAAGAAAAAGCGTCCGATATACTCAATGTAGTTGTGTCGTTAATCCATGTTTTCCTTCTAACTGCGTCTTGTAGACACGGGTCTATGCCTGCGCACCATACAGTATAATACACTCGTAGGCTTTCGTACTCCTTACAGCCCCACTCTTCCACTACCGCCTCGCTCCATCTTGTTCAACCGTCGCGCAGTAGCAATCTGCGATTGTTAGCCCATTGACCCACCAAGACCACAGCCACTCTCCTAGGGCCAAACCTACCTGTGTCCTTGTCTTCTGGCCCCTCACGGGCAAGCCCATAGCGTGTCTCCTTCCACGATATGTGCCCATATCCCTCAATCTCCGGATGTCGTCCTGCACTTGCCGCCGTAAATCGTTCTCAATTTTCATGTTGGCCAGTTCCGCGGTCAGATCCATGACGGTGGCGTTTTTCAAGCTGCCGACTTTCGCCCACGGGTGGATGTAGAATTTCGCCATAATGCGCTGCGAGACCGAGGGCCCGATGCCAAAGAAAGATTCGAGGGATCGCTTCACGAGCGTCGCTTCTGTGAAGCTGAAGCCGTTGATGAACACCTAAACCGTCAGTAAGACGCGCGCAGGGGGAAATGGGCGTTCCAGTCGCGTACCATGGCGGGTCAGCGTTCCGACGGCGAGTTCGCGTGTTGGAGTGTCAATTGTCGTGTCTGATCTCGAACTCCAGACTTCCGTTTCCCGCTAGACCCAGCCGGCGCTAGTGCGACAGTGCGGGCAATGGCTCTACCTAGGTAAAACGCAACGTTTCAACACCTCCTCCACCATCGCATTCCGCAGGGGGCTGTCCAAACTACTTAACCTTGCGACTTCCCTCGATTGTTTCCCGACACAATCAGGCACCATGGCTACCATCCAGAGAGCTGTCATTTCGCTCCTCTTGATCCTCTCGATCACTTTCGTCTTCTTTGCTCAGAGCACCGAGGCTGCAAAGGGTCCAAAGATCACTCACAAGGTGTGTATAGCTTTCAATCGGATGAATAGACGGACTTGCTGACTATATTCAGGTCTACTTCGACGTTACCCACGGCGATGAAGAGCTAGGCCGCATCACCATCGGTCTCTACGGCAAGACCGTCCCCAAGACCGCTGAGAACTTCCGGTACGAACGGATACAAGTCTACGCATAATTCTGGGGGCTGACATAGACTACAGTGCTCTCGCTACTGGCGAGAAGGGATTCGGTTACGAAGGCTCTACTTTCCACCGCGTTATCAACAACTTCATGATCCAGGGTGGTGGTAAGTCCGACTCATGCCCGGGTCTAGGATTCACAATGCTGATCAACCGCTAGACTTTACCAAAGGCGATGGTACAGGAGGTAAATCGATCTATGGAGAGAAGTTCCCCGACGAGAACTTCAAGCTCAAGCACACCCGCAAGGGTCTCCTCAGCATGGCCAATGCTGGCAAAGATACCAACGGTGAGTACCCTTCCCCTTCACTCCCTGCAGCATGCACTGACTATCCTAGGCTCTCAGTTCTTCATCACCACCGTCATCACCAGCTGGCTCGATGGCCGCCACGTCGTGTTCGGAGAGGTCCTCGAGGGCTACGAGGTCGTGGAGAAGATTGAGAACGTGAAGAAGGGTGCTGGAGACAAGCCGGTCCAGACTGTCAAGATCGCCAAGAGCGGAGAGCTCGAGGTGCCAGAGGAAGGTATTCACGCGGAACTCTAGACATCAGTACGCATTCTTTGCTATTGAGTCGACCCCTCAGGTTGGAGAGCTGCTGATAGTTGTACCTTTTTCTTCAAGATTTATACGGTCATGCTGAACCAGCCATTCCTGGCGACGAACTCGATATCACAGCGACTCCGTCTCACGACGATATCGTCAACATTGCTGAGGTATCCCAGGCCTCTTCCACCAAGGGCAAAATTCCTGGCCTGGCTGCTGCTGCTGGTTCTGCTGATGGTTTGTCGGTCGGTCAGAAGCTTTTCTTTATCGGGGCTGTCGTTGCGATTTGCGTGCTCTTCTTGAAAACGCGAAATGGAGGGCAAAGCAACATTATGGGTGGGCTCAAGGAGAAGAGCATGGCCTAGATTACGACGAAATGCAGAAACGTTCCTTTAGTAGAGCATTGATCTGATACATGGTGAACATGGCTCTCTAATGTGTCAAGACGCTAGCTAGGGTAGAGGGGATACGATGTCCTTGCAGTCCCTGCATTACCCGCCGATGACGATGTGCAACGGTCAGGGCACGTCCAGGGTAAAAGCAAAGAAGACAATGTTGGGTTATCTAAAGCCATGGCACAGTCGCACAGGATGGCCTGGAGCCTGCACAAAAACCTAGAAAGGCCGCCACTACATTCAACTGCGGCCATGTCACAGTGCATGTCGCATGAAAAGCAAGCCTGCTGCAGCACACGACAGCTTCCATCTGTGACGTTCACCGCTCCCCACTCGCCACAGCCTGAGAACTCTGAGAGGGAGCGCTAGCGCCAACGGGGACTAGTGCGGGAAGGGTTCTCCGACACGCTTTTTTAACTTACCTGCGGCCGTCTCCCTCTTCCCTAACCACCCACCCTCCAAAACTACTCTGTGTGTATTGCACAACCTTACAAGCTCTTTTCCTGTGAAGTCCTTTCTTTTGGTCTTCACTTCTTTACTTCTCGTTTTCAGGACAGAGGCGTTCCCTTCTTTCCTGACAGAACGAGTCTCAGGCACCCGCCTGCGAGTTACGAGTTTCGTCACTTAGACCTGCTACTTTTCGTCTGTCGCTCACCGCCGAGCCAGCCGAAGCCAGCACATCTGTAATTTGCGCCCTGCACATTGCACTCCCAAACACACCCTCAACCAACTCGATTCCACCACGCCCATCATGGCTGAACAACTCGACATGGGTCGTCTCAACATCAACGACTCCCAGCACAACCCCCAGAACGGCTTCAACGGCGAGCGTTCTGCCTACATCCCCCCTCACCTTCGCGGCCGTCCCCAGGGCGGTCCCGGAGGCCCTGCACCTATGGACGGCCCGCCCCCGATGATGAACGGCGGCGGTCTCGGCGGCAGCGCGTGGGGCCCCGGAGGGTCAGTCAACACCCAGGACACAAAACTGGAAGGTATGCTAACTGGTGACAGTCAGGGTCCTCCCCCTCAGATGAACGGCGGCGGCGGTGCCGGTGGCTGGGCCAACGCACCCAACTTCACTCCCCGCGGTCGCGACGGTCCCCCAGGCGGTGGATGGGGCGGTGCCCCTCGCGGTAACTTTGACCCCAACGCCTACGGCAAGCCCGGCGGCGGTGGCTCTGGAGGCGCCCGCGGGTCTGGCGACGGTGCCTGGAAGGACGGCAAGCACGTTCCCGGCCCGCCCAACCAGCGCCTCGAGCGCGACCTCTTCGGTATGCCCAACGACCCTTCCAAGCAACAGACCGGTATCAACTTCGAGAAGTACGATGACATCCCCGTCGAGGCCTCTGGTCAGGGTGTCCCCGAACCCGTCACACGTTTCACAAACCCGCCTCTCGATGACCACCTGCTGAGCAACATCGAGCTCTCCGGATACAAGGTTCCCACTCCTGTACAGAAGTACTCCATCCCCATCGTCATGGGTGGCCGTGATCTCATGGCTTGTGCCCAGACTGGTTCCGGAAAGACTGGTGGTTTCCTCTTCCCCATTCTCGCCCAGGCCTTCCAGAATGGCCCCTCTCCTCCTCCCGCACAGGCTCAGGGTGGATACGGACGTCAACGCAAGGCTTACCCCACTTCGCTCGTCCTTGCTCCTACCCGTGAGTTGGTCTCCCAGATCTTCGACGAAGCCCGCAAGTTCGCATACCGCTCCTGGGTCCGTCCTTGCGTCGTCTACGGTGGTGCCGACATTGGCTCTCAGCTTCGCCAGATTGAGCGCGGCTGCGATCTTCTCGTTGCTACCCCCGGTCGTCTCGTTGACCTGATCGAGCGTGGCCGTATCTCCCTCGCTAGCATAAAGTACCTCGTTCTTGACGAGGCTGACCGCATGTTGGACATGGGTTTCGAGCCTCAGATTCGCCGTATCGTTGAGGGTGAGGACATGCCTCCTACCGCTGCCCGCCAGACACTCATGTTTTCGGCCACCTTCCCCCGCGATATCCAGATGCTCGCCCGCGACTTCTTGAAGGACTACATTTTCCTTTCGGTCGGTCGTGTCGGTTCCACTTCTGAGAACATCACCCAGAAGATTGAGTACGTCGAGGACGGCGACAAGCGCTCTGTTCTCCTTGATATTCTCCACACACACGGTGCTGGTCTCACCCTGATCTTCGTCGAGACGAAGCGTATGGCCGACTCGCTGTCCGACTTCCTCATCAACCAGGGCTTCCCCGCCACCTCCATTCACGGTGACCGCACTCAGCGTGAGCGTGAAAAGGCCCTGGAGATGTTCCGAACCGGACGTTGCCCCATCCTCGTCGCTACCGCTGTAGCTGCCCGAGGTAAGTTTTCCAAGTTGTTCAAGCCTTGAGCAACTGCTGTATTCTGCAAACCCTTGAACACCTTGCTGACTCATTTCAAAGGACTGGACATTCCGAATGTCACTCACGTAGTCAACTATGACCTTCCCACCGACATTGACGATTATGTTCATCGAATCGGTCGTACTGGACGAGCTGGAAACACTGGTATTGCCACTGCTTTCTTCAACCGCGGCAATCGCGGAGTCGTACGCGATCTCCTTGACCTGTTGAAGGAGGCCAACCAAGAGGTCCCTAGCTTCCTCGAGTCCATTGCTCGCGAGGGCTCCGGCTTCGGTGGAGGTCGTGGTGGCCGTGGAGGCGGCCGTGGCCGTGGCAACGCTGCTACCCGTGACGTTCGTCGCATGGGCGGTGGTGGTTTCGGTGGCGGTGGCGGTGGCCAGTGGGGAGGTGCTCCTCAAGGTGGCTATGGAGGTGGCTTCGGCGGTGCTCCCGGCGGTGGCTACGCTCCTCCAGCTCCCGGCGGCTACGGTGGTGGCGGCGGCGGCTTTGGTGGAGGCTACGGCAACCCATCCGGCCCTGGCGGCAACTCTTGGTGGTAAACGTGCAACGCACCGCTTCACGATATAGCCAGCCCGGGACACATTTTCTTCTCTACGATACCCTGGGCCTTCGTGTCGCCGCTACCGATGGCTTGCTTTCGATTTCCTTCACTTGCGAATGTTTTCTGCGAATCTTTCCCGGTTACCGCGGATCGATGCGGAAATCTGGAATCTCATACCCCAATCAGCATATAGACAGCGACTGTTTTTTTGCGGATCTGCCTGTTTTCGAGCTCTTCTCGCATACGATACCCTTCGACGCACTCTTGTCGAGCTCGAACATAGATGGCAGGACCCTCGTCTTTCTCGCAAAGGCATGCATTACGAACATTTCACGACTTCGCTCTTCTGCAAGCATGCTGCTTGGGGAGCTATAGATTCTCGCTTTCCGAGTCTTCCACACGCGGATGACCTCTCTGAGCATTTCCTTATCTTACGACAAAAGCGGTTCCTTTTTTCCCGGTCATACCCCTCGACGACAACGTCTTTCTCGTCGTCCTTGCGTCTCTCGGTCTCTCCACACGCGGAGAGTAGCAGCATGACCCTGTTTTGGACGACGGAAAAGTTTACTGCATAGATGGCGTTCATGAAGGTCTAGCCACGACCCAACCTTTGTACGAAGGAAGATACCCCCGGTTCTTTGTGGTAACCATCATGGTGGCTGTCTTTCCAAGGCCAGCTCGGCGGTGGGATTTAAATGCTCGTTTTGGTTTGCATGCGCATATGCGGACCTGACCCCGTGACTTGGGTGGAAGGAATCTGATAAAAGTATAGTTTCGAGCAAATGATTAGTTACATAGACTAGTATGCGCTGCCAATATGCGTGGCCTATACAATGCATGCGATTTGATACTTGCATACATTTCTCCTCAGTTGCTTCACATTTATCATAATGTGACATTACGTGGCATCTTACCGTCCCTCAACTTGGCGTGGCTGTCTCCAGAACATTATATCACTTCATCATCTTAACTAGAACTGCTGTGCATGTCCCGCTATACATTGCCAATGCGGTAACCGTGAATTATTGAGACTTCACTAATTGACGGAGACTGTTTCTTAATCGCCACCGCCTTCCACCTGATTCCTGGCTCTATCGTCCTTACCCGGCGAGTTGAGGTCCATATCAGTCGCTCACGCATCTACTTCTCTTGCCTTCCCAGACATCATCTGCGCCACACCATCCACTCTATTCTTCGCGCACCCTCCCAAATAGCATCAGCATACTCGGCATCGAATACATCATTTTCTCTCACCCTAGACACCGTGCTGAGATCAACTCGCTTTCAGGAAGTCGGCCCATCATACCACAATGCCAGACCGCCTCACAGGACACCCGTCCCTCCAAAAGACCCGTGACACCATCTCACGATGGGGACGATGGTGCGGCTCCCAGATATCAGACTGGACTGCGTTAGCGAGAGAAGAGATCGAAGCAGATTTGCGTCGTACCAAGCCGTGGAACACAAGTCTCTAGGATTGCTTGAATCCGCTGCCCTTATGTAAGTCTTTCCACACTTGTTGGTATGAGGATGGGAATGACGAGAAAGATGGACTAACACGTAGCGTAGGTATCGTCACGTTCTTCTGTCCTTGCGTCACTTGCGGAAAGACGTGGCATCGTCTTCACTACAATGGCGACATGAGTGGCTATGAGATTGTCAACGTGCCGGTACGCCATTTCCCTCCCTGACAAAGTTCCATCCAGCTTCGATTAGCGTCCTACACTATCCCACCGCATAATTCCTTCTCAGATTCCTGACTGACACTACCGGCAACAGTGCATAGCATACGGCTACTCGTTCCTCTGCTGTACCCCGCTCGCCCACGGCTTCCTCGTCTGCGTCCCCTTCGCATGGCAAACCTATCGGATCCGCAAACTAGGCGACCTCGGCGGCACTTGTGTTGCCGATATACTCAAGACGTGGTTTTGCACGTGCTGCTCGCTGATCCAGAACGAGAAGGAATCGAAGTTGTTGATTGAAGGGCGTACAACGGGGTTTTGGGGTGGTGACGGCGCGGGTGCTGAGGGTGTTGTTGTGCGGCAACCAAATGGGGGGTTGGGGGAGGTGATGATTATGCCTATGGCGGTTGGAGGGGGGGTTACTGGGCAGGGAGTGAATGGGACGACTACAGTTGGGGAATGTGCTGCGGTCTCTGAGCTTGCTGGCGAGACAGTGGTTTGCTTTGAAGGAGAGGAAGATGATACAGAAGGAGCCACTGGGGTACAACCACATGTCGACGGAGCCACCGATCGACACACCCGCCTCGAACCGCATGTGCCAGTTAACACTTTCAACGAACACAGTTCCCACTCAGAAACGGGCGACGAGGTCATGGAGCGCACCGTCGCATCCGAGGACTCCACCTTAGATCTGGCTGTGATGGCATTGTCTGCGACTCCACAGTACATCGCCTGTACGGCTCCTGCGCGAACGACTCAATCTGAGATACCCAGTCACCTGGACCAGTCCGAGAACGATTCGTGTCCGGACCCGGCTAGCGAGCACATCTGTAACAACGGTGAAGCGGTAATGGCAGAATAATACTGGGTATGCTCTGTGCGAAGGATGGTTTTGCTAGAGTAGACTACGCTTGAAGAGCTTGGGAAGAGGGAAGATGTGATGGGGTGTTGAACGGGTGGTCGGCAGAGGTGGATGGTGTCGCGTATTCCTATTCTGTCCCTGCGTAGTCTTTTTTTTCCTTGCCCTAGTTAACGTCTTTGTGGTTTCAATGCATCGCTGTTATTTCCAAACTAATTCTCTGATTAATGCTTGTTTTGAGGAAATCGTCATGTTGATTTGCACGGTCGAAGATGGTAGAGAAGGTATGAAAGTGCGAGATACTTCTTCATTATGAATTCGTAAGTCATTGTACAAGCAACTAATCCGTTGGGTACCTTGCGCTCAAGACCCCAAAATGGTGGCAAGATCAAATCATGCAATTCGTACATTCTACAGTCCGCTCAAACCATCCAACAATGCGGTCAACCCACCAACACCCAGCAACGCGCCCGCCGCGGCCTTCCTCCCTGTGTGACTTTTCTTACCATACTTGTCCCTTTCCCTCTCCTTCTCATACGCTCTACTCCTCGATTTGGATCTGCGCCGTCTTGGGCGTTCGAGCTCAGACTCGGATGTGGTAAAGTCGTCGTCATGTCGTCGGTTGCCGGCATAAGTGGGGTTCATGTAGGATTGGCGGAGAGGCGAGGCTTGTACAGGGTAATTCTGGTTTTGGATTGGTGCATGTGGGGGCGCGGGTGCGTTTGCAAAAGGGGTGTTTGGAGGTGGTGGGTAGTATGGTGGTGCGTTCATCGGCTGGGATGGGTGTCCGTTGGCTTGAGGTGGGTACTGTGGGATTCGTGGGGAGTGAGGGCGTTGTGGTTGTTGAGGGGTATATTGACTGGGTACCGGTATCTGGAGATTTGGAGTGCGGGTATTGGTCTTCTGTTGGGGTGGCGGTGGGACGAGTCCCGGTCCAGGCATCGAGAGTGATCGGTCTAGTGGGGGTGGCCCAGGCGGCGGTGCGTAGTGCATCGTGTTCGTGCGATCAAGCGGGGGATGTGTGTTTCGCGGCACTGGTGTCCTGTCGCGGTCGAATGCGCTTCCTTTTAGAGCAGTAGGTGGCGGTGGGGCACGATGGAAAGATGATCTCCTGGCTTGTGGTTGTTGGGGTGGAGTCTGTGGTGCTGCTTTCCGGTAGATGTCAACGGTACGTTCAACAAGACGTTTGACTTGGTCAAACTGCAATGGACGTTCGATGCAGAAGCATGTCTCCCCTCTCGTTCTCCTACTATCCCTCCGCTCCTTTTGATATTGTGTAAACCTGAAACCTGCCTCTCGGATTGCTTCCTTGCACACCCAACTAGCCATGATCTCGGTCCAACTGCTACGTTCCAAATAGGCAAGTGAATACGCTTGATCAGTATTCGAGCTGACTTGCTTGGCATCGACAAAGCGCCAGTAGTATTTGCGCGTACACAACTTCCAAGGTATTTCTAGATCGACTTCACTGTCTTCCTCTTTCGCTTCTACCGCGGCGGCAGCCTCGATGGGGAGACTCCCTAGACTAGATCGAGGCGAAGCAGCTGTTTGTTGTTCATTTGTAGCAGGCATGCTCGCTTGTGATGTACGAGGTGTAGCGATCGGTGTTGGCGGTGCAGGCGGACCGTAATGCTTCTCCGGGTGTGGACTGGACAGGCTGCTGGCCTCAGTGAACAGCGGCTGTACGCTGCCCGACCTTTGTGTTCGCCGAGCGCCATCACCTGAAAGCTTTGATGTGCGGCTCTGCTCTTCTTCGCTATCTGACTCTACAGTAGCTTGTTGATACTCTTGTCTCTGCCTTTGTAGTTCACGTTCTTCGTCTCGTAAGCGGCGCTCAAATAGAGGCAGACTCGTCCATTGTTGTAGCAAGTGCTCGGCGCGCGAAGCCGATATACTGAAGACCGCAGGTAGACCATTCGCTTCGGTGTATACCGACGTGTCGAGGCTTCTCAGGTCCTCATCCTGATAAGATCGAAGGCTGGTCGGCCTAGGGCTTTCGCCATGCTCTGTGACAACTAAGCTCTGGGAACTGTCTGCCTCCATCAATAAGCGCGCATCAGACCGTGGCGATTGTTCGTAGAAGTTTGAAGCTGATAAGATGGATAGTTGTTGTTGAACAATGAGTGCCTCGAGTTGAATCTTTTCGTTGTCAACAAGTTTAGCGGCTTGTTGCGGAGATACCGTGGGACGTAACCTGAAAGACTGTCAGCAGCATACTACTCCAAGCCAAGATGTACCTCAAGTAGAAGATAGAGCTATGCGGGTGCGACTGGGTCAGAGGCCGAGTGCAGTGTAAGGATGTAAAACTTACTTCGACCACATTATAGTCTGTGCTGCATACAACGTTTGCAGCAAAACAGAGAGCGTCATGCTCAAGGCTTCCAGGTGAGCTGTGAAATAGTCTAAGCTTGCCTTGGTCGAATGATCTAAACGGGGATGGCTGTGTTGAGTAGAGCGAACACTGTCTCTTCGGTCATGGAACTTGTCGTTCTCGATCGAGGTAGTCATCTCGACGCTGGTAAGTAAGTTCTGAGCCTGATCGATGGCATCGTCCAGGGTGTTGATGGCCTATATGAATGTCAGCGAGGGCGTCCACGACCTCATTTAACGAAGCATAAGCATTCGCTCCTCCTTGTCTAATGTCTTCAACTCCCTTGATCGGACAGAGCAGATGAGTGATTCCCAAAGTCTTCTTGGGATTATGCCAGTACAACACTCCGATCTTGGAATAGGCCATGCTTTCCCGTAATTGCAGCGCGACTCGCGCGTCCTTACGTACCTCAGGTGACGGCAAACGATCGTCCTCTTTGATGATGGTCCCTAGCTGCTTGAGTATTGCAGCGAAACCATTTGTTTTGTTTGCGACGGCAACTAGGTCTTTCGCGGCCTCAGGCGACTCCACAGCAACGCCGTATAGCTTCAGCGCGAGAGCTGAGCTCCTCGACACCACCGGTAATATATCCGCAAGCACTGCCATGCTCCCGCTAGAAAACGCAATACCAGATTGGAAAAAAGAGACAAAAAGAGCAGTGTGGAGAATCGGAGACTTGGGAAAAAGGCACCCGCAGCGAAGAGAGTCGAAATCCTTCGATATGTGTTACCGACTAGCTAACCCTAGAGTCGTGTGAGGTCATAGTGTAGGAATTAATGCAGGGCGCTGGTTGACCGACGACTAAATCCGGCGAAGATCACGGCCTGGTGATTGGCCAAGGTGCACGGCTGAAGGCAGGCGAGCACGCGAAGTGTTGAACTTATGCAGAAGTTGCCGCAGGGCTGGGCGAAAATCAGTGCATCGTAAGCATGCAAGGCGGAGGCGGTGCGCTCTCGTCAGTGTTTCCAATAAATGTTCCTGGTTGCCCGCGCGTAGGAGGCCTTGAGAGGTTTGGCCCTCAACTGGAACTCGACTACGTGTTTGCAGCCTTTGCTGTCGGTATACCTGTCCACATGCCTAGTCCGAAGTATGCGCGGACGTCTTCAGGTGTTGCGCGTCAACAGTTGACTAGAGGCGCGCCAACGGTGTGGCACAGGATGACGCCGGCTATACGGGCGCGAATTGGCCACCTGATGATTTCCGAGGCTCAGGCTGAGAAGAGTGGACAAGCGCATCGCGAAAGTGTACTTTGAATCTGCCTTGAGAGGCCGACATCTGGTGGTGTGAGAAGAAGATCCGGTGAAGATTTGAGGACGTGGTGGTGATCAGAGCCGGTTTGGGCCACTGGCAGTGGTGAGCTGCAGGCCAGTACATGTCGCGCCGTATCCCGTATAGCCTGCAATGGGAGAAGACAAGGCCTGGACAGCGTTCGGAATGGCATGCAGCTGCAGCGATGCCTGAGGGCGTTTGAATCATGGTAGTCAGTGAGCAAGTACAGACACATGTTCTTCACGGGCAAAGTGGGCGAGGTCGCACGTTGTTAGATGCCCGAGTCGACGCCCGGCGCCATGCATGCAGAGATGCCTTGAGGTAGTTTCAAAATGTCTTGTACATATATGTCTACATGCAGTGTACAGGCCTAATTTCTAGGCGCCCATGAAAGATCGAGGGCTCTTGCTCTTCAGCGTTGTGTTCTGGCCGACAAAGTCCCAGTCGATCCTGTCCCACCACTGCTCGAGGAAGGCCCTCTTCCCGCGGACACCGTAGTCGTGCAGCCAGACGTGCTCCCACGTGTTTACGCACAGCAGCGGCACTACATCGACGCCGCCCAACGGCTTCTTGGGCTTCTGGTCCTGCTGCGCGGCCACGCCGAAGGAGCCCACCTTGTTCATGTTCTGGTACGAGTCGGCGTTGTGTGTGTTGAGGTCGTGGGACTGGCGCCTGTAGTGGGCGCCCGACAGAGGCGATCCGGCCAGGTAGGTGGGCAGGATGCGCAGAGTGCCGCCCAGGCTGTTGTCGTTGGTCTGCACGAGCCAGACAAAGCCGGGGCCGAACATGGACTCGGCGGTGGCGAGGAAGGTGTCGCGCAGGGTGTCGAGCGAGGTGAAGTGCTTGTTGATGTGGGCGTGGAGGTCTTTGGACGGCTGGGCGTGCACGTCGGGGTTGGTGTTGAGGCCGCGGAAGAAGAAGTGGTTGTTGAAGGCCATGCTGGCGATGTTGAAGGCGTAGGCCTTGGTCGGGTCGCGGGCGAAGTCGACGACGAGGGCCTTGGCCTCCTGGTTCTCCCACGGCGTACCTGCAGAGCGACGTTAGCCTGTGGCAGCGCCCTGGACGCGGCGGGGCGCTGGCGTACCGGCGGTGGATGCATTCAGCTCGTCGACGATGTGGCCCTGGTACTCGGTGTAGGCGGTGCGGAAGCCCGTGGGCGAGAGCACGCCCGGGATGCCGTTCTGCTCGAGCTGGGCGTGGTTGTCCAGCGGGGGCACTGTGTAGAGGCTGCGGGCGGCGGGCGGCGGCCGTCTCCAAGACACCCTCGACGCCCCGGCTGCAGACTGCATGGCTCCCGGCCGGCGGGCCAGACAGCGTGTAATCATCATGTGTGCTGTCGTTGCGGGCGGCGGGCGAACTGGAGTCGGCAGCCCGTTGCTCGCTGCTCATCTTTTTCCGGCCTCTGCATCGTCGCGCTAGCCCCCGCCCAATCACGACGCGCCGAGCTCCAAGCGCCCGCGTCACTCGTTTCACCCACTCGCCTGCTTGTCCACGCAGAGCCACACAAACACCGCAGTCACCTGCCACCAGACGCTGCTAGCCAGACCCTCCGCCCGCCATACAGTGCCTCTTGTCCACTCGGCGCCTCGGCTGCCTCTATTCTCAGAACACAGGCGACATGGGTGGACACGATAGAGCCCGACTGCTCCCTTCTCGCCGTGAGGAACGTCACTCGCGGCTCCTCGAGTCTAGCTCGTGCAGGTAGATATACCCAAGGTAGGCCGTGTCTTTGTCTGTTCCGTTGTTCGTACTCTGCTTCCGTATCGCTCTCTCATTTCTTTGTTTCATTCCGAGTCACTTGAGGTTCGCAGGCCCGACCTCTTCAACCTAATACCGCCATCACTTCCATCTCCACCACCATGGCTCCAGTCACACCCTCTCCCAGGCTCTCGAGGATATCCCTCGCCTGCCTTTTCCTATCCCTCATCCCCACGGCACACGCGTCCAGTCTCTTTCTCCGCCAAGCAGAAACATGTGGAGGGAGCGCAGGCCTCCAACAGTGCGGATCCGACTTCCCTTCCTCTTTCTGCTGCCCCAAAGACTCAACCTGCATGTCTCTCAACGGCGGAGACATACAATCAGTCATCTGCTGTCCGTCCGGCTCGGACTGCGCCTACATCCAGCCCACCACCTGCGACACCACGCAGCTGAACGCGACGCTCCATCCCGACAACCAGATGCATCTCTCAGAGACCGACGGCATTGACCTGCCCAAATGCGGCGACAAGTGCTGTTCGTTGGGCTACACGTGCCAGGGCACTATGTGCGCCAAGGACACCTCGCCATCGTCATCGCCGTCTCCAACGTCAACCGCAAACCCAACACCCTCCTCCACCAGCCCGGCGTCCGCCTCCCAAACCTCCGACTGCTCAGCCACCGCACCCGTCCAAACAAAGCAGGGCTTCGACGGCCGGTCCTTCGCAGCTGGCTTCTTCCCTGGCATAGTCATCGGCGCCCTCAGCACCCTCGCCCTGATCTGGATCATTAAGAAAAGGCGCGAGTCACAATCCAAAGAGCGCTACTCCGGCGACTTCGGCCATGTAGCACGTCAAATCAGCGACCCAATCTACGACCCCCAGCACGCCGCGCGGACCGACTTCATGCGCCGGGGCAGCCACTCCGCGCATTCGAGCCCCAACTCCACCGACCGGATCGTCCAAGGCATGAAGGAAACAAACGCCAACCCGCCCGTTCACGGCTTTACCCCCAGGATAAAAAGCATGTGGGACCGCACCCCCAAACTGAATTTTGGCTTCACGGGCGGTCTCCCAGCAAACCCTGCACCTCTCCACCCTCCTCCCGTACGCGCAGGGAACTACACAGATCCGTACCAGACCCCGCCTCCCAAGCCCAAACGCATTCATTCTGCTAGTCGGCGCTCGAGTTCCCTCCGTACCAGCACGCAGACATTCAACACACAGCAAGGGCAACAGCGTCCGAATGTCGCGCGCAGCGGCAGTTCGGAGACCATTGATGTCTTGATGCCAGCACCGAGTTTCCTGGCGCCTCCACAGGCGCCTGGTATGCGGCGCGACAATCGCTTCACGGCAGACTCGGCGAACACTACGTTCACGAAGCTCATGGAGCGGGCCGGGTTTGATGAAGGTGGGCGCCAGGAGGTGAGGGAGTGGAGGACGCCTAGAGTGTAGGCGCTGCAACACCTTGTTTCGATTGGTCGGTCCAGTCATGTGATGCTTTTTCTCTTCTCTTCGTACATATATTCTTCCCCTCTTTGCTGTCACTCCCCTTTTCTTGTTAGCGCTGGCGTTTCGGACCTTCTTTACCCTGGGCTGGCATCCTCACTGCATCTGCGTTTGCATTTGGTTCCGGCGTTTGTGTCTCTTTCTAGCATGATACCACATAGGCAGGCCTTTAGTCGCTCTCTACGAGCTATTCCTCTTACTGATCAAATATGAAAACCACCATTGCAATCTTCAGCCATGCTTCGATGTGGAATGTCTAGTCCAATGTTCGTCCATCACTGTCAAACGTTATGATGTAACTCGTGTCAACACATGTACGAGCTGTGTTCTAATCATATCATTCGGCGAGTATAAGACCCATGCACGCCTAGGTGCATTTTGTCATCCTTTCAATATATATACATCTTTGTAATTCATTCGTGTAGATCTCATCAAGTACGCCTCGAGTATATGGATACAGCTACCCAGTACCACGCTATCGCAACACTGACATGATTACCTCAAGGGATGTGCTACATAATCGGGGGCAAATGGCGCCAAACGTTCTTGCCTCGATCGGGCAGCTGCGGGAAGATCAAAAGTTGGCGTATTGTTTACAAGGATTGGTAAAGTTTGAACCGCACCCTGTTCCAACGTGCCCGAATGCGCAGTCGACGACGCGCCACGGGGACCTGCATCTGGCGATCCCATGATCCTCGCCTCCGCTGCCTGCGCCCTTAGTTCACGGCCAACCTCCCTCTCCACTATAGGTTTCGCCGCTTTCCGCTGCTTGCCAAAAAGACAGTGCCACAAGTCGTCTTCCTTGACAATCTCTCCTTCGCCCTTCTTGCGCAGGAGCTGTTTGACGGGCGCAGCTTGGAGTTCGGCCGAGTTCGCAGCGTCCAGCGTCTGTTCTTTGATAGCGGGAGTCGTGGGATTAGACTGTATCGGTGTTTTCGACAATGTGTTGTTGCTGATATGCTCGAGGCGGCGGGCAACAGAGATATCGTAGATGGCTTCTTCGACTGTGTTGCTGATAAGGTACATAAAAACCGTCGTGGGTCGTTCTTGCCCGATTCGGTGGACGCGGTTGATGGCTTGGAGCTCGATTGCGGGATTGATGAGCGGTTCGCAGAGGAAGACGTAGGTAGCGTTTACAAGACTTAGGCCTGAAGAATCGGTTTTTGCATCCAGGAGCAAACACTCGACACTGGGATCTAGCTTGAACTCCCGGATGCCGTTCTTGTCAGTGATACTGCTGGCACCAATCTTCCACTTTTTCAGCGCTTCGTAGAGCACTTCGAGGAAGTCGCCAAACTGGGAGAAGATGATGGACTTCGCACCAGGGTCGTTGTTGCGGATCCAGATCAAATGACGCGCGATCATATCTACCTTTGTGCCGTATGAGCCTTCCAAGTCGATCATCTTGATCTCTTTCATCGTTGAGTCAGACAGGTCAGAGTAGATGGACGTGGTGGACGAAGAGCCTGGCGTAGAAGCATGCGTCCGACTGGCAGCTGCGTCCATCTCTTCTTTCGCTCTGATTTCGGTCGGTTTGAAGACAATATCCTTGAAGTCGGACGAGCCCAACTTCTGCTTACAAGTTGGGCAGGTCCGATGTGCCTGCCACCATTGATTGATGCACTCTTTGCAGTACTTGTGACCGCAAGCCGTCAAGACTCCGATCTCAATGTCTTCCCTACAAATGATACATTCGGCTGTCGTCTCCTTCAGATTTTCACTCCGGAGATGCTTCAGATATGTGCACTTTGTTTTGAAGCCATTGGCGTTGTTCTCGCGTTTCTCTCGCAAGTCGTCGGTTCTGTCGAACTCACGCTGGTCGAATCTGCTGTCTAGCGTCTCCTTGTACTTTGCGACGGTATCGGAGATATGTTGAAACTGCCGATAATACTCTAGACGTTGGTTCATGGTGCCTCGATACAGTTCCTGCTCTTTCTCAAGTTCAGTGATAACCTTTGCCTGTTCTGTGACTATAGCCTGAACCTTAGTGATGTGCGTCTGAAGGATTTCGAGCTCGGAAGAAGCGCGGACATCACCACTGTTCACTTTCCATTGCAGAGTGGTCATCAAGGAGCGAATACTAGAGATAACGCCCCTCAAAGATCCAGCCCGGAGTTTCGCTTGCAGTTCGCGTCGTCTCCTGACAACTTCAAGCACAAGTTGAGGTGCGTGACCGCGATCGCCTTCGTCGTTGTCTTTCCTCAGGGCTTGCTTTTCGGCAGCCCTAAGCTCGTGTTCGACAAGAGTGTCCTGTAGACCGTTTACAGCAGCGTTGCGGTCTGCGACAAGTGTTCGAAGAGCCATGATGTAAACGTATAGCTCATCCTGAGCCTTGAGCGAGTCATCGTATTCTTCTCCTGTCAACTCTTTGTCGTCTTCGTCATCAACCAAGCGCGTAAGAAGAATGTCAATAACTCTTGTGCGCCAAGCGTGTATCTGCTGAGCTTGCTCATTCAAATAATCACTGATGTTGTCCATCGTGTCGAGAATCTTTCGCGCTTCAATACCCCCAAGACCTGGGAGGTCAGCGATCGTAGGCAATTGGAGAGGCGTTTTGGTATTGACTTTGGCCATTTGCTGCTGCGCTTTACTCTTCGATCCCTCCAGCAGCTCATGGCGGATGGCCCTGGCCGCCTCGTAGTAAGATGTCTCAGACTCGTCCCACTCGCGCCACCTATCCGATCCTGAGTCCGTGTTGTACATTCGCAATTCTTTTCTCTGATGGAACGAAGTGGCGCTGAAGAACTGAGCGGCATGCTGAAGCTCCAGAAATGACCGTAGCGATTTACGCAGAATCGGGATACGGCCCATCTTATCTGCAGCTACATCTTGCTCTTCATCAGCCTCACGAAGGTCAGCTGTAGATGCGCGGCCCAGCTTCTGCTGCTCCGCGCGTAGCTCGCCTCTGCATATCTTGATATATGTCTCTGCTTCTTCTCGGGCTTTGTAGTAGTACTCAAGTGCGTGTACTGGATCTTCGGAATAAGCATGAATGTGACCCATCTTGATCAGACATAGAATCATTTCGCGAGCCTCTGACTTCCACTTGGTGTCGTTCTGCTCAATCATAACCTCCAGAACTTCGTGTACGGTGCGCAAAGCCGCCTTCTTTCCACCCAAGGCTCTTTGATTCTTTCGACCCACGTTCGCATGGAGACACGTCTGGCGCAGCCTGACCAGCCATTCCCGCATGCGCTCGACAACCTGGGGATGGGTCTCGTCGCGACCTTCTTCCAAGGGCTGCCCTTCAGGTGTGAGCCAACATGCATCACACATTTGACGCATCATTTCGCTGTAGTTCTGTTCCTCGATAGTTGTGAAAGGAACTGTAATGACAACGCGTTTCTGAGGCGGTATCTGAAGGTCATCGCGAACTCTGTCCTTGGTATGCCGTAGGGCAATCTCGCTGAAAATGCTCTTGAACGACGCTTTGTCGAGGCGATTCCAGATTGCCTCGTGGTTTACAAATGTGTCACATCTGAGGAAGATCAAAAGACCACGTAGATCCTGGACGTCCTTGCGAAGAGGAGTGCCGGAAACTGCCCAGGCGTTACACCGCGGAATGATCCGCGCTACTTGGGCGGCCTGACTGACCCCACGCTCCACCATTTGCGCTTCGTCTAAGCAGACTCTCCACCAGGAGATGCCGACGAGAGGGCTGGTGCGACGCTCGTGGCGTTTGGGGCGTCGAGAGCTGCGCTCCGGGGGAGGTACAGCGTGATGGATCTCTTTCGAGAGCACATGATACGTCGTTAGCACTACGTCATATTGCAGGAGATGCTCAATGGTAGATGGTGCATGGACACTCTTTGGTGCAGTCGGAGGTGGGAGACCCCTGTAATGGCAAACTTTGAGATCAGGGGCGTGAGTGCGCAATTCGCTCATCCACTGTTCTAGGATCGAAGGTGGAGTGATGATCAACGTAGCACCTGAGGGCTTAACTTCAGCTTCAGTGTATACGTCGTAGACGTTTCCTTTGGGGATGTCTCGCTTGTGATGGGATATGAGTGCGATTAGCTCGACTGTTTTACCTAAGCCCATCTCTTCAGCGAGTATGCCGCCGCGCAGTGACCGCAGAGCGTCGTCCTTGGCTGCATCTATATTTGTAACAATAGAGCCTCGGAGATAGCTGACATAGCACGGTGTTCCCAGGGCGTCTTGAGTCTGTCTGAACGATGCTGGTGGCGAACTGTTGACGAATGGCTCGAGCAGCCCAGAGGATGAGAACGCAACGCCTTCTCGACGCAAGAGCCAATCAACGGTCCTCTCTTGGAAAGGCAGAAGCTTGGTCTCGAGCAAACTCTGTTTGATGCGTGGGGAGACATCCATGTCTGCTGCTGGCACATAAACTGAAGTGTAGAAATCAGACAAAGTCCATTTCTTGTCGCCTCTTGTAACCTCGTCAGTCATGTAGACGCGGAGAAGACTCAGATCTGCGGCCATATAATGGCGTGTGACGGCTGAGTCCTCAACCACTGACATACCCAAGGTCCACCGTATCTCGACAACCAATTTGTGTATACTGCGTCCCTCACCGGGCGCGTACAGCTGACAGCGACAGAAAGCTGCTCGAGACGCGGGTTTGGTGTTCTTGCCTCGACGCGTAGTAGCAAATGTAGTGACGGTCCGAAGGTGGGGCAGGATCGAGTCTGCGAAGGCGGAAGAGGTTGTGGCGGCCAGGTCAAGTCCCGTTCTATCGACCACGTTTCGGAGTCTAATTTGCAGGGTCTCTTTTGCCCGATCCCTGTGGCACGATTCGAGTTCTAGAGGTATGGAATCTTCCGGTGTGGCTGAGGCGTCCGTCGTGTCCATGAAGTCTGGCGAAGGAATGGGCGTGTTCTGCATACGGGTCAGTCCAGCATCACAGATGTTGGCCAGCCCACTAACCAAGTCAATAGATACTCTGGCCAAGACGATACTATCTTTTGCGTCTGCGTCCGCCCGCCAAGGCACGGAGATAGCCCTGCCATCACCAGTTTTACGTCGCTTGGGCGACGGCTCTTGCTCCGTATGCGCAGGCGCTTTGAACCAGTCTTGCATAGTACGTATGCAGTCCGAGGCATCTTGCGCCGGCAGTGATGGCGGCCCACGGCATCTCGAGAGGCCGCTCGCAGGCACCGGATATGCGCAGAGGAGCTCAGCACTGCCCTCTAGAGCAACAACCATGGCGGCAGAGTGGGCGCGTGTGCGGGGAACAAGTTGTGGTGTAATGAGGGACAGGGCGAAGACGGGCGTGGGCGGATATCCGTAATCGCCGACGCGCCAAGACAGGTGGAGACCAGGGTCCCCGCAACCAGGCATCAGTCCCACCATTCAATCCTACCCCAGACACGAGTCTGCTTCGCGCACACATATGACAAGTTGCGAGGAGAGAATGTAGAGGCTCGGCTTTGCGCCAAAATTAACCACCTAATCAGCACCGGCTAATGGTACCGTGTCTGTTACTAGTCAAACTATTACGAGCTCCCATTGTTCCTGCATCAACTACTTTGGCTCCCCTGACCTTTCCCAACACACGCTACTGTAGCTGCGATGTTGCAGCGACTGCGTTGCTTCCTCAGGACAGGACGTGCATGACCCTCAAGTCGAACTGAGCGCACCCTTAGCAAACTAACCATGTAGTGTATCTCGGTCTGCCATGTCCGTCTTTGCGAGCTTGCGTGGTAGTAGACTACAAGGGAGCAGTCTTTGGCGCCGCATTTCCGCTCGTAGACGGCATTGCAAGTCCAGTCTGGATGGGTGCAGGCTGCCATGTTTGAGCCTTTGCTTCAAACCCGTCCTTCTCAACGATGTTGACATCCCTAAGTGCAAGTATAAGCATAGTTCCAGTGCCGCATCGCATCAAGTCCAAGAAGAAAATCCAGTAACAAGTATTTACTCCGTAGCCAGCACTTTCTTGATCGGTTCTGCAGCCTCGATGAACTTCTCGACCATGGTGTCCAGCTTGGTGAGATCGTCCTTGCCCTTCTTGACCTCCGCAATGAGTTTTTGCTTCTGCTTCAGCTTCTCCTGCCGCGCTTCCTCGAGCTTGAGACGGACTTGGTGTTCGTGCTCGATGCGCGCCGTCATAAGGTCGTGTTCATTCGAATCTTGGTGCTCGGGGAAATGCTCGAGGAACTGCTCGCGGGGGATGAGTGGTAGCTTCATGTATTTGTGGCTATACAATAGTTAGCGATGGACGCAGTTTTCCACGCGAATACGCACTCGTAGTTTTCAGCAGCAGAGATCTCGGATCGTAGCGACTGCTCCTCATACTTGAGGTTGTGGAGACCCAGAATGAGCGCATCGTTCACCGCCCTGTCATCGGAGGTCTTCGACTTTTCCTCGCGCACTTTCAGCACGCTCTGCCGGTACAAGGTCTTGACAATCGACAGTTGCGCGCGGATGTACTTCTCCCGCTTCTCTATGTCTTGTGTGGCTTTCTTCTCCTTGTCAAGATCTTCGCGCGAACCTGGCTTCGTATTCTTTGGGTGGGCGAGCTGGTAGTCTACAAGCTCATTGATGAGCTTCTTGAGGTTTTGCACTTCGTTGTACAAACGCGCGTTATGCGGCGTCTTGATGAGATCGACGATATTGAAGGTGGAGAGATCCGTAGGCATCGCGTCACTAGCCGGCGCGACTGGAAGCTGATGTCCGCTCATATTGGAAGCCTTTGCAGGGTGTGGTCGCGGGTGTTTGCGCGCTCGAAGAAAGGCGCGCCTGCTTGGCATTCGGCTCGGGCTCCAGTATCACGTGATCTCGCTGAACCTGGGTGCAGCTCCTACCACCTGAGCCACGCCTGTTTCTACCAACGACGCCACAATTAGGCTGAACTCTCGGAAAATACACTAGGTCCCCAATGCATTGTCTGAGATATCGAATACGCCACGTCTGATCGATCTCGGTAAGCAGTGCGCAGTGTGGAGAGATGAGTTGCGTACCAGATCCTGGCTCATTCGATCCCACAGGGCGCCACATATATCCTCGCCTATCATCCTGACGCATCGTGAAGGGATGTTCACATTGAGCACATCGCGCATCAGATCGATCGTACTCAGCGCACTGGTCAGCCGTTCAATCCAAGTACTAGCATCGAGCAGTTCCAGGAATCCAAACATGCATACCCTGATTGAGCGGACTTAGGCCCACCCTTCGTCAGCTCAAGGAATCTGGTATTGGGTTTTGCAATGCACAATCTTCTCTCGCGGGCTACATCAAAGCTATCGCAATCATGCCGTATACCAGAATACAAGCTCAAGCACCAGCCCGGACCGCGTTTTGAGTCAAAGGAGTACTCTTTTGCTTCCTCCTGCGGGCTGAAGGAATACGTGTGGAAGTTGTGGACTATCACGAGGATGCTGCAAGAGCTACACCCGACTACCAGGAACCGATTGCACGCAGACAAGCCTTAGCCATTCTGTTTGTGGTGCCGACGCGGTCGCTACCTTACGACATACTCGCCAAGTGGGAGGACTCCGTGCTTCCGATGCCAACTGACTCACTTCAAGTCGTCATGCTCAACCCTTCCTCAGAACTTCATCTCCGATCTTGCATAGCCGTGCCGCCCCATGCTACGCTTGTCCTTCTACAAAAGAACGTGTTCTGACAGAGACAAAATCCTTCGCGAATGCATTCCGCCCAAGTTGGCGTCTCATGAAAAAGATTACTAGTCCGCACATCGGCGAGAACATTGTACACCCGACAAAGTCCAAGGTCACTAGCAAAAACGGCGAAGTGCGCAAGAACGGCCCAGAATCCTCCCCTCGCAGGTACTGGGCGTTCTACCAATAGCGCGGTCGCGGCACGTGCTAGCGTCGTGTTAGGCGTACCTAGGATCTGAGCCTGAGATGCAGATGAGTAATTGCGGAGGATTTGCATGACTGCAGACGCCCAAGGTTTGCAATTCCATGAAGATCATCGCAACGCTCATATTCCGAGCCACTGTCAACGCCTCATTTCAAAACGGCCTGAAACGTCGAGAGACCTTGGACTGGGTACAGACGCGGCTCGCTAGGAGCCTCTTGATCAGCAAGCTGCCGGAAGTCATCATCCTCGGCAAGAGCTCGCAACGTGCTTGGCTGAAAATCTGGTACTAGTGAGCCAGTCTTTGCCCTTTTGTATCTTGCATCATTGCGAAACTTAGTTGGGGACCAATCATAGCGGACGTCCACGAAAGACATCTTTACGGCTCCCACGCGCTCAATAGTTGGCTAGACTTTCCGCTACCCTTGTGGATGGAGGGAGTTGGCCCCACTCCTGTATTATTCAATTTTGTCACTTGTCATTTGTCCAGACGGAATTTTCGAGGATGGCGGAGGCATGTCCGAAGAGATCAGGTCTCGCTGCGGCTGTTGGTGGCACCAGCCTTAGATCGATCTTGTGCGGCACAGCTAGCAATACGATTCCGAAGCCAGGGGTAGACGAGGTTTCAACGAAGCTTCGGCGACCCTTCTGGCAATCCCTGGCGCAGCGAGACGCCTCTCTTCATGGGGCAACGAGCTTTGGATGCCCCAAACTTCACCTCTAGCGGAACGGCGTACCATCCACTCAAATGTTGTGTCTCGGGCCGTGCGGCCTAAAGGTAGTCTGCGTACGTACACTGCGCGCAGGGTTATCGCAGGTGGAGCTGTGTAGCCCGGAAAGACATGACCGATGGACCCCAGATGGCAATTACGAATATGTGGCTGGTAGGCGAATGCTCTTTTGCTTTTCCCGTTACGTTCGGCGCCTTGTTCATGCAACGCCGAACGTACCCATGCACGGCTCGTTCTTTGGGCTGAACACTGGCGGCTGATACGAGATGACTTTGCATCTAGCATCCGCGTGGTTTGGGCAGATTCCGTGTCGTGCACGATCTGGGCTGTCGAGACGTTCACGCGCATACCAATCTTGGAGTCAGTTGGGAGGATACCGCTCCTCGCATAGCCAACGCTTAGATCATACATGCATGCAAGCAGCACGAGGCAGCTATCCGAGTATGGACTAGATACCCGAGAAAGATCAACCCGCACGATGCTCGGCTAGCAGTAGTGTGGCATGCAGCTGTGCCAGCAGGCACAATCTGCACGCTGCAGTCACAATGATCAGCTAAAAGGAAGCTGCCGGCAATCAAAATGATATTCATCGGTGCTATGTCTTGCTAAACTGTGTAGCGTACAACAGTTTCCCGGAGATAGGTTTCGGCCCACAGCACCGACCGTATGTTTTCCCCCTATGCACGCACACTTTCACGTGGAATGGCAGGTGTCATCTAGGATATCCCTAGAACAACCTGGGGCGCTGCCATACAGCTCTTGGCACTAAGCCCGGCGAAGGCGAGAACCTAAACCTTATTCCGGGCCTTTCGAGCGCCCATTACAACCTTAGAGCTATGACGCGACGCGATTCGCCTGGTCGCGCCTCCTTGACTCGATGCTCATGCGGGCTAGAGCAGACGGACGGCCTGGCTTACCACGGTATTTGGAGCGGGCCACAGATAGTCTCTAGTCAGGGCTCTCGAGTGCACTGTAAAGAAGCCTCGTTGACCCGCTCGTTGGTCTTTTTGATTCCCCCAGCATTCGTTCATTTTTACCATCTTTGTCATGGCTCCAGCAAAAGAGACATCGGTTGATCTGTGCAAGCGGGTCAACGCACAGGGAAACACCATCGCAATCCGCATGCTCGAATACCTGAGCACAGCAAAGACACCTATTCATGGCTTTGAGCCACTTGCCAGAGAGTTCATCGAACTTTGTCAGGTGTTATGGTCCATTGAGGCCGGTGTCACGGAAGCTTCGAAAACACGAAGTGGATTTCCCGTCGAGGTATCTCAAGAACTTGACAGAAGGGTCCGCCAAGTCAACGAAGAGTTCTCTGTTTTGGCCCAAATGGTCAACAAGTGTACGTTTCCCCAAATCTTGGATTGTCTGCTTCTATTACCCTCGCTTGCATGGTTGTTGCGGACTGTTGCTGACAGCATTACTTGCTACAGTTGTCGACAAGGAGAACCACAAAGGCGGCTTTGGCATGAAGTTCCGAATGATGTTCGCCGACACAGATGTCGAGAAAATGCGCCACACACTGTCACGAAGTCGTGACTCCCTCAAAGTCAGCTCTGCTATGTTCAGGTGGACACTAGGCGACGCGCGAGCCGATGCTTCCATGGGCATTGGATATGCCGGACTGATTGCCGCGTTGGAGCGACTGAA